GTGCTGGCCTGACTTTACTAAACTTAAAACTGATAAACGGTGGATGTTGACAGTGTAAATGAAATCACAGCACAGCAGTTCACGAGGTGCCGGCGAGGAAGAGGGAGTGTGCTGAGGAAGGGCCTCCTCGGGACTCACTGCTGAATGGTGGTCAGCACTCGGTTCTGTTTCCTGGAGTGGTTCCTGTGTACAGCACTGTGCTGCCGGCCATCAGCCCATGGCATAGCTTGAAGAGAGTGCCTTCATCTGGGAGTCATGGCCAGGCTGTGTTCTGCGGTGACCCCTGGGCCCCCGAGACTGGACCTCGGGACTGAGATTTTTACAGACTTTCTCATTTGCATGGGGTTTCTCTGAGGTTCCAGTGTTAAAGAAAACCCTGGTGTTAGAACACAAGGAAGACCCCATTTAGGACTGGCGGTAGAGGGGGGTGCCGGGACTCACTGAGCACAGTACAGAGGGCTGGAGTTGTGCAGCCAGCAAGCAGCATGAGGGGATGGGTGGGGCTGTGGGGGCCCCTTGTGAAGGCAGCCCCTCGGGACTGGATATCAGGGCTGGGTTCTCGCTGAAGGCCAAGACCGAAGCATGGTGAAGAGAGCTCCGGGCCTAATACAGTGTGAGGGAGCCCTGCACAGAGGCCCTGCGAAGCCTGACTGGGACTGTTGTCGTTTGTTCACGTTCCTGTGTGTGCACTCACATGGCTCGATAAACACTGAGCAAATGCAATCCCATGTGCTGGTGTGGGATAAATACGAATCTCTCAAGATGTTCAGACCCTGTGCTCAGTTTCTGGGGGTGTTTCTGAAATCCCCAGAAGTTTCTCTTGTGTAGTGGGGTGAGTAGGGAGGAGAGGAGCAGCAGAGGAGGACTCTGGCACTCCTCCAGCCATGGGGACATCTGTGGGGTAGCCAGACCCAACTAGCAGTTGCCACTGGAGAAAAATTGTTACATACTTGGAAAGAAAGCAAGGTCAAAAGAAAACTCATGTCTTGTGTTGCCTCGCCAAGCCTTCGTCTAACAGTTTCCCCAAGAATGTTTTCTTTCTTTTTTTTCTTTTTAAGATTTATTTATTTATTTGAAAGTCAGAGTTACACAAAGAGAGAAGGAGAGGCAGAGACAAAGAGGTCTTCCATCCAATGGTTCATTCCCCAATTGGCTGCAATGGCTGGAGCTGCGCTGATCCGAAACCAGAAGCCAGGAGCTTCTGGGTCTCCCACGTGGGTGCAGGGGCCCAAAGACTTGGGCCATCTTCTACTGCTTTCCCGGGCCATAGCAGAGAGTTAGATTGGAAGTGGAGCAGCTGGGACTCGAACCGGCGCCCATATGGGATGCCGGCACTGCAGGCAGCGGCTTTACTCGCTACACCACAGTGTCGGCCCTGAGAATGTTTTGTTTTCTCACAGAGTGTACCTGTCTCACCTGCTGACCACTGCTGAGGGAGAGCAGCTGCTGATGTGTAGATGTGTGGGCAGACACAGCCAGCTGCTCCAGGCCGTGGCCTTGTTGTCTAGCGTTAGCCTGTGGTGGTGCCTTTCTCTTTGGACTGGACTCAGCTCTTCCTGTGCTGCCTTCGAGCTGCCTCGCCAGTCAGTCACCGTTTGCGTGCGTTCTGACCGAGTCTGCCAGCGTCTGTGCTTTGGCACAGCAGGGATGCAGAGTGTGTCTCAAGGCAGCCGCAGCCGCTGGATGCTGCTGCTCTTCTATGGGCTGTCTACAAGCCATTGTCCCTGTGTCCACAGTGACCTGGATGGCAGTCCCTGCACTGCATACGGCATCTGTTGGGGTCAGGTAGGGTTGGTGTCTGTGCTGAGCTGCACGGTTGATCTCTGCGCACAGTAAAGCTGAGAGGTTGTGAGTACAGGGGCTTCTTGGTCCTCTTTCCCACTTGCCCGTATCCTGGTGTCCTGGTGCCCTGCGCCTGGCGGCACTGCATGCGTTGGTGCCGTTTCCCAAGCCCTTTGTGGGCTGCCTGAGGGCAGCAGTTCTCTGCAGTCTTTATTTGGCCACAGGCGGAGTTGACGAACTGTGTGTGTGCCTGTCGTTGGACTTGTTCGTGTGTTCATTCAGGTCCTCTCAGCTCCCCCGCCCCACGCCTGACTCTGTGTGACCAAGCCGTCTGGGAGAGGCCCTGACCGGCAGTGCCTCCCCCAGAGTCTCAGACTGTAGTTTGGGCAGTAAGACTTTTGTGTTTCATTTTCTTTCAAAGACAACTATTACCTAGATAATGCAAATTATGCAAATTTCTTGTATAATTTGTAGGAAGAGTGAATTTTATATATATTTTCAGTCATCGCATAATGACTAGCTGTGCACAACAGAAATTGTGAAATACTTCCAGTGATATCCTCGGGGTATGCACTTGGCGCCGCAGTTAAGACATCACTTGGGATACTCTCGTTCCACACTGGAGTGCCTGGGCTGGAGCTGGCCCAGCTCTGCTTCTGGTTCCAGCTGCCTCCTGATGTGCACCAGGGAGGCAGCAGGTGTCGGCTCAGGTAGTTGCATCCCTGCCCCCACATGAACGACATGGATTGAATGCGCTGCAGCTGGCTTCAGCCTGGTCCATACCCAGCTGTTGTAGGCGTTTAGGGAATGAACCAGTGGGTGGAGGATCTCTGTGTATCTGTCTCTGTGCTATTTAAATAAAATAGAAATATATAATTACAACTGAAAAATAAAAAATTACAACTAAAAAATCATGATGTTGCTTTGTTTTTTTAGACATTTTTATTCCTCACCACCCCTTCCTGCGTTGAAGGGTGTGTGATGTGAAGACACTGGGGTGCTGGGCGGGGCCAGCTGCTGCTGACCTGGCTGCTCTTTGCGAATGCCGTCCAGGTGTGCACTGATGTGGCACCCCGAGGCACTGGAGCAGGAAGGGGGCTGCCCCTTCCGAGAGCTTCCTGTCACTGGGGTGAGAAAGGGTGCCGCATTTGAATGAAATCAAAGTGGTCTGAGCCTGATTTTGGAAAACAGAATATTTGGAGAAACTCAGGGTTTCAGAAGAAATGCTTGAAACAAAAAATCCTTTTATGGTCAGGGAGCTGCAGCTGCTGGCCAGCAAGGCATGTCTGTCAGGAGCTCCGTCCCCCCAGCTCCACCCGGTGGGTCTCAGGCCGGCCAGTCAGTAACTGGGAGCAGCCTGAATGTGGCTTCCCACCAGTGGAGTCTGTCACCACACAGACCCTGACTCCCCGAGGTTTGCCTGTGGCTTGCCCATTCCACAAGGCTCACTGAGTTCAGAGCTAGGCCTGGCAGAGGAGTCTAGAAGCTGGGACCTCTGAAGTTTTTTGTCCATTCTGACCGACCTGTGTGTTATGTTCCCCTTTGGAGGCCTGGCCGCTACCTACTGTGTGGGCTCCAAAGTGCAGAACTGGCTCCTGGTTCACATCCTCACGTTAGGAGGCCTGGTTTATGTTGCATGGTGCCGTGGTTCATTCATGCAGCCTAGCGTAATAATGCCGTATGTGAAATGTGTGATATTTACAGGCGTCTGACTTTTGTCAGGAGCCAGTGTCCATCAGCAATCAGCAAATTCCCAAGAGTCTTGTGAAGCTGCCTCATCTCAACCGAGAGAGTTTGCTTTTGCGAAGCAGAGCATATGGGTTTTTATCTTTGGGGTTGTTGTAAAGATTAAAGCTGGAGTGCAGTGCCCAGCTCAGTAACAGGAGCGTGTTGTTGGTGTGTGCCTGGTCCCAAGTCCGGAGGAGGTATCGTTTGTTCTGTGCTACTGTTTGCATATTTGGGATTTGTGTTATCGAAGGCATGAAGACCTGGTGACTGAAAGAAAACTATAGTGAAAAAATTGGCCATTAACATAAAAGATGTGCTCATGGGATTTTTTTCTGACCATTAGTGGACTTCATTGCTTCCTTGAAGAGCTTGTTCTGTACTAGGCTGTCTTCTGTGCATAGTGCCCTGCCCTGTGGTTCTTCTACACTTTGAATACTAACTCTCCAAGCCGCTGTGTGTTTGATTGACAGTTTTCTATTCAAAGCTAGCCAGTCACTATCTCAGATGTTACCGTGTTTGACACAGTTAGTTTTTGTGTAGTTTTCTTTATAACACCTTTACTGAGATGTCCTTGACACGTACTTAGCCTGCACACTTTGCTATGTGTGGATACACCCATGAAACTGTGACCGGTCAGTAGTGCGGGTGTCTGTCACTCCACAAGTGTCCCATCGTGCCCTTCCTCCCCTGTGCCCCCGCCCAGGTAGCCACTGATCTGCGTTCTGACACTGCAGGTCGGCTGAGCTGCCCATAAACTGTTGTCTTCTGCAGAAGGAGTCACAGTGTACTCTTCCTGAGGACCAGGAGGGGTATGGCCTTACTTACTTACTCAGCAAAATTATTTTGAGAATCACTCCTGTTGCACGTTGCAATTTATGTTTTAGGTTTTTAAGAGTAACTTGTGGCCGGCACCGTGGCTCACTGGGCTAATCCTCTGCCTGCAGCGCCGGCACCCCAGGTTCTAGTCCCGGTCAGGGCGCCGGTTCTGTCCCAGTTGCTCCTCTTCCAGTCCAGCTCTCTGCTGTGGCCCAGGAGGGCAGTGGAGGATGGCCCAAGTGCTTGGGCCCTGCACCCGCGTGGGAGACCAGAAGGAAGCGCCTGGCTCCTGGCTTCGGATCGGCATAGTGCTGGCCATAACGGCCATTAGGGGAGTGAACCAACGGAAGGAAGACCTTTCTCTCTGTCTCTCTTTCACTGTCTATAATTCTGTCTGTCTCTCTCTTGCTGTCTGACTCTGCCTGGCAAATAAATAAATAACTTGCATTTGAATTCCCAGATGGGAAATGTTACTTCTGTGAAAACTTAGCCCCTGTATGACTCTGGTTGAGAACTCTGTAATAACCACTACTGACTTGTGCCTCACAGTCCATAGGAGGGTCCCTCCTGGGTCCCCACTGAAACACCTCCTCTAACCTGTGGATGTTGAACACTGTCTTGTTTGGCTGTGTCTAACCATCATGCCCTAATTGTTCCTTTGTTTTTCTTTCCAGATACTTTCCCAGGATTCAGTGATGGGGGTGAGAGGTTTACAGGGATTTGTGGGGAGCACCTGCCCACATATATGCACGGTGGTGAATTTGAAGGAACTGGCGGAACAGCACCGCACCAGGCATCCTGGCTGCACTCCAACCATCGTGGTCGATGCCATGTGTTGTCTCAGGTACTGGTACACCCCAGAATCTTGGATCTGTGGTGGCCAGTGGCGAGAATACTTTTCTGCTTTGCAAGATTTTGTTAAAACCTTTACAGATGTTGGCATCAAGTTGGTTTTCTTCTTTGATGGAATGGTGGAGCAGGGCAAGAGAGATGAGTGGGTGAGAAGGAGGCGCAGAAACAGCAAGGAGATAGCCAGGATCTTCCATTACCTCAAGGCACACAGGGAGCAGCCAGGGAGGAACATGTTCTTCATCCCCTCAGGCTTGGCCATATTTACCCGCTTTGCACTAAAGACACTGGGTCAGGAAACCCTGTGCTCCTTGCAGGAGGCAGACTATGAGGTGGCTGCCTATGGCCTCCGGCATAACTGTCTTGGGATTCTTGGAGAAGACACTGATTACTTAATCTACGACACGTGTCCATACCTGTCCATCAGTGAGCTCTGCCTGGAGAGCCTCAGCACTGTCCAGCTCTGCAGAGAGACGCTGTGTGAGAGCCTGGGTCTCCGCGTGGCAGATCTCCCCCTGCTGGCCTGCCTGCTCGGCAATGACGTGGTTCCTGAGGGCATGCTTGAAAGCTTCCGTTACAGATGCTTGTCTTCCTACACCTCTGTGGAAGAAAACGTCAACAAAAAAGCCAACATGATCCTAGCTGTGTCAGACCATATCGCCAAAGTGCTTCACATGCATCAGGGTGAGAAAGCCTTGGAGGAGATGCTACCTTTGGGGCCAAATAAAGCTCTTTTTTATAAAGGAGTGGCATCCTATCTTTTGCCAGGACAGCAGTCTCCATGGTTTTTCCAGAAACCTAAAGGTGAAATGACTTTAAACAAGCAAATAATGTCTGTGAGATCAGATCCTGAATTGAAGCAGGAAGTTCCCATGTGTACAGATCCCGAGTCCACATCAGAAGTTCCCATGTACACAGATCCTGAGTCCACGCCGGAAGTTCCCATGTGTACAGATCCTGAGTCCAAGCCAGAAGTTCCCATGTATACTTACTCTGAAATCAAACAAAAATTGCCTCTAGGAACAGGCCCTGAATTTAAGCTAGAAGCATCTATGAATACAAATCTAGAGATCAGACAAGAAGACCCCGTACCTATGGGGCCTGAAATAAAGCAACCGGTAACTATGATTTCAGACCCTGAAATCTTAAAGGTAGGTGGATGTGCCCACCCTAATCTGATATGGTCATATTGGAGTGTGTATTCACAGGGGATCTACAGGAACCGTGTGTTGACTGCCTGTTGTAGTCATGGCCCCGATCTGACAGGATCATGGTTGACAGCTCGGGGTCTGCTGGGGACTGTGTGTTGACTGTATGCAGTGGTCACTTATGGTGGAAGGACACAGCACAGTAGCCTGTGATTCTGGTTAGGACATATACCATGTATGGGTAAGCTCACATTGTGCCCTATACTTGATGTCATCACGTGACCGTGACAGAAAAGAGCTGCAGGAATTGGAAGGAGAGAGAATGCCGCAGGTTCAGGTACCAGGAGAGTTTCCCTCAAAGAAGTAGACCTGTACCTTAATGGGACCAAGACTTGCTTGAATAGACAAAGATGGGGGGAGGGGGATCATTGGAGCCTTAGACATGTAGCTTTGGCATCCATGCCATCTTGGGCCCAGGTAGACAGACTGGAGCATGACCTTTGAAGGGAGAAGAGGGAGGAAAAATGGGAAAAGGTAAACTGAAGCTGGATTGTGGAGATCTTTATGTTGCCACGCTGGGGATTTGGACTCAATTCTGAAAGTACTGCAGAACCTGTGAAGGTTTTTGGTAGAGTGTTACTATTTATTAAGCCTCTATTTCATTCTCAGTTCTGTGCCAGACACATTGCACCTTACTTGATCCTCTCAGCCATCCTGTGAGATAGGTATCATCCTTACAGGTAAACGTCAGGGCCTTGTGAATAGCCCAAAGGCCTCAACTAATTCAAAACCAAGCTGAGGATCTAACCCCAAACCTTTCTGTGTTCCCAGAGCCACGAGTACCACCCTCTTCCAGGCTACCGACCTCATCCCTTCCACTTTTCACAAGCAACCTTCTTTTTTTTAAAAAAAATTTTTTTTTTATTTTTTATCTTTTTTTTATTAGATAGAGTTAGACAGTGAGAGAGAGAGAGAGACAGAGAAAGGTCTTCCTTCCGTTGGTTCACCCCCCCAAATGGCTGCTATGGCCGAAGCTACACCGATCCGAAGCCAGGAGTCAGGTGCTTCCTCCTGGTCTCCCAAGTAGGTGCAGAGGCCCAGGGACTTGAGCCATCCTCCACTGCCTTCCTGAGCCACAGCAGAGAGCTGGACTGGAAGAGGAGCAACCAGGACTAGAACCCGGTGCCACAGGCGGAGGATTATAAAGTGAGCCACGGCACCAGCCCCATAAACTTTTATTTAATAAATATAAATTTTGAAAGTACAACTTTTGGATTATAGCAGTTTTTGCCTCCATAACCTCTCTCCCACCTGCAAACCATCCCCTCTCCTTCTTCCTCTCCCATCCCATTCTTCATTAAGATTAATTTTTAATTATCTTTATATACAAAAGATCAGCTTTGTATATACTAAGTAAAGATTTCAACAGTTTGCACCCACGCAGAAACACAAAGTGTAAAATACTGTTTGAGTAGTAGTTTTACCGTTAATTCTCATAGTACAGCACATTAAGGACAGAGATCCTTCATGAGGAGTAAGTGCACAGTGACTCTGTTGTTGATTTAACAATTGACACTCTTCTTTATAATGTTGGTGATCACCCGAGGCTCTTGTCATGAGCTGCCAGGGCTATGGAGGCCTCTTGAGTTCACAAACTCTGACCTTATTTAGACAGGCCATAATCAAAGTGGAAGTTCTCTCCTCCCTTCAGAGAAGGGTACCTCCTTCTTTGATGGCCCATTCTTTCCGCTGGGATCTCACAGAGATCTTTCATTTAGGTCATTTTTTGCAACAGTGTCTTGGCTTTCCATGCCTGAGAAACTCTCATGGGCTTTTTACCCTGATCCGAGTGCCTTGAGGGCTGATTCTGAGGCCAGAGTTTAGGGCATCTGCCACTTTATGAGTCTCGAACAGCCTTCTGACCCTTGATACTTGCACCTGTTAAACAGTTCTGAAATCTGTGCATTGTCCATTTCTACCACCTTCATGCAAGCTGTGTCACACTGGATTGTGGCAGCAGTTTGCAAGAAATCTGCATGCATTTGCTGTGGGGCATACAGAAATAAAACCTGGCTTTGCATTTTGAAACTCTTAGGACAAAACCAGTAACCTAAACTGGCCCACTGCATCTCCAGCTTCCCTCATCTTCCTACAGTCCTCATGGCCCCGCGCGTACCCTTCCCCACACGGACAGCTTCTTCACTCCTGCTGGTCTCTCCTACACAGCTGAGATGTGTCTCAGACTCTGCGCTGCTCCTTGTGAACACTCCTGGTATCTCTGTGCCACTTCATGTTTGTGTGTCCGTCGTCTTTCCTGCTAGACTGCAGTGCTGAGGGGCAGGACCCGGCTTCATTTTCCTTGCACTGAGTTCCCTCCTGCCCAGCGCACTGTCTCATAGTGGCTGCCATTGCATGCTTGTTGAATGAATCATTCCCTTCTCTCCTCAGCAGCCTCTCCCCTGTCTCCTGTATGAGGTGCAGATCTCTCGTGTCTCTAAGAACATTTCACCTGGTAGGTGAGCTGACTCAGGAGTGCAGGTGGTAAGCAGCTGGTATCAGAGTTGCAGGTGAAGAAGTATTGAGTTACACAAGGATGACCTCTGCCTGGAGGTTCTGGAAGCACTTTGTGGAGGAGAGAGCCTTGTGGGAGGCTGGAGGGAGGGAGGGAGCAGTGGGCTTCCAGGTAAAAGTGATGGCCGCGGTGGGGTGCATGGTGAGGGGTTGGTTGGGAAGACAGTGGTATTGTGGCAAGGAGTGTGCAGAACAAGCGGACAAGCACCGCATCTACTTTGCCGGAACACTTGCAGAGTGGGTGTGGGAAAACTGGCTTACTGTTGATCAGAGAGTGGTGTTTGCCCTCAACTGTGTGTTTCTGTAGTGGTTCAGTTACCGAATGCTGCTCCTCACGTTGGGGCAGAGGCTCGCTGACCCCCACTGTCATATGCAGTGACTCTCGGCAAAGTCCTGGCCACCCTCCCTGCTGCCCCGAGGTTTCTTGGTCCTGAGGGAGGTGAGACAGTTGGGATCGGTAGTCCAGAGCCTGAAAGGGAGGAAACTGCTGAGGCCACTGTGTAAAGTCTGACGTCAAACGCAGGCCTAGGCAGCAGCTGAGCCGCGGTGCCTGAGCCTGGTAGGAGGCAGTCTCATCCTGTCTGCCTGGACCTGCCAGCCCCTTGACCCACTCGGCTTGTTTGGATCTGGCTTTCTCCCTTTCCTGACTGCCTCCGTCTCCTGTTTGTGTGTGGCCTTCATGTGGCCCCGTTGGGCCGTCACAGGAAGTTTCTTTGCAAACCCAGCATCATTGCCTTACAGGCCCCTCGCTTGTCCTCTGGGCCTTTGGACCAAGCGTGACTCTTGGCCAGATCACATCCACCTTCTCTGCACTACCCTGTCTCATCCAGTTCCCTGCCATTGCGTCTGTAACAGACTAGGTCAGACCACAGAGGATACATACATGAGGACAGCACTTAGGACTGCATTTTGCGCTTTCTGAGGAACCCTGGGGTGTGTTTCAGCGGGGGAGTGAGGGTGTGGTGCTGCAGCTCAGGTGAGAGACGGTGGGGGTAGGCCGAAACCTTCCTCTGGGAGATCCGCCTTGCCATGGGTCTGAAGCCCTGAGCACTGGGGCGGAGCTGCCATTAGCCAGGGCTCACAGGGAGGAGATTCACAGAGTTCCTTCCTGTGTGGCACTCGGACGTGCCCATGCAGGGGAGGTAGGCCTTGAGTCCTGTTGGGAACAGGAGGTAGACGTATGGAAGTCACCTGTTTGCATGGCCAAGAACATGTAGAAGATTATGAGGGATGGAGGCTCGGGCATGGGCGGAAGAAGAGCAGAGAGGAGCCCAGCCAGAGGCCGAGGAGGCAGTGGTGAGAATGAGAAGTGGTCAGCAGTGAAGTGCTGTGGAGGTGAAGGCAGGACAGGCCCAGACAGGCCGCTGGGTTGAGTGTGCAGGCCGTGTTGGATTTGAGGAGAGCTGGATGGGGGAGGGGCAGATTTGCAGGAAAGTTGCCCTGGTCAGTGAGGAGCTCAGGTGTGACCTTTGTGGGCAGGAGGGGATTGTCCCCCAACCCAGCTGTGTCTTTGAAAACAATCTTAATTTTCCTATGAAAATCTGTTACCACACCCAGTTGCCCTGGAGCTGCTGGGGTAGGAAAACTGTCCACAGCTACCTCCCTGTGCCTGCTTCAATCCGACATCTGGGAAAATCACTTAGATGTAAAATAATTTCTGTGGATTTCGTAGTGCTGGATAAACTGGATTTGCTTAGAATTGTAAAAGTAGGCGCCTGTTAGGTTTGTGCGAGTGCGGGTTGCTGTGTGTGTGCTCAGGGATTAGATGTAATTGAGGAGCACTTAGTGACACCTAAACATCCAGAAAAGAATGTCCTCTCTCAAGTTCTGTACAGTTGCCAAAATTAAAGACTGCTTAGTAGGGGAAATACCATTTTTAAAAAAGATTTATTTGAGAGGCAGAGGCAGAGAGAGAGATCTTCCATACACTAGTTCACTCCCCAGAAGGCCGCAGTGGCTGGAGCTGAGCCAATCCAAAGCCAGGAACTTCTTCCAGGTCTCCCCTGTGGGTGCAGGGGCTCAAGGACTGGCCATCCTCTTCTGCTTTCCCAAGCCATAGCAGAGAGATGGATCAGAAGAGCTGGGACTCAAACCGGCGCCCATATGGGATGCTGGTACTGCAGGCGGCAGCTTTACCCACTACGCCACAGCGCCAGCCCCACTGCATACCATTTATCACAACTTTCTACATAAATCTGTATGAAGACTAACTCCTTGGAAATAAGAAGAAGAAAAATAAAACAGCTGTGGCAAGGGGAGTAGGAAGTGAGCACAGTGATCCTGCTGTGAAAGTCCCTGAGGCAAGGGACACTGAGTGTGTCAGTGCTGCTCCTTGGCTGTGCTACAGAAACCTGACCTACAGCTGCTGGCAGGTCTGCCTCGGGTTGAAGGAAAAGATCGACGTTTTGTCAGACTCTGAGAGGGGCAGGATGGTTCTAACCGGCGGTGGCGAGCACCCAACCTCAGCAAGTGCTGACTTCTGCAGTCCTCACAGCAGCCCTGGGAGGTTCTGTCAGACCCACTGTGGAGAACACATGGGGCAGAGATGAAGTCTGCAGTCCAGAGAGGTCCGTAACCAGGCCCACTCTTCAGTGAGACGGACAGTCGGGCCTCCCAGTGATCCTCCTGCCACGTGGGAAAGTGCTTCTGATCTGCACACCCACAGGCCCACGGGTGCCAGCCCTGTCCTGGCCCTGGGCTCTGCTCCATACGTGATGATGCAGTGGGGCAGCTTCTGAGCTGGGTCCTAAGGCAGTGAGTTTAGTTTTGTTTGGGGAGGAAGGAAGGGTTTATGGAGAAGGTGACACCTCAGACGACTCATAAGGGAGAAGAGGATGACGAGGTGTGAGGTTGGGAGAGTGGAGGGAAGCAGCATTCTGGATGGGGTGCGTTTTCAGGGAGCACAAGGGAGGCAGAGAGGGTGCTGGGAGCAGTGAAGACGCCCCATCAGCCTGGAGTGTGGTGCCTGCTGTGGGTGCACAGGTGTGCAGAGAGGGCATTGGGCCTTACAGCAAGGCCTCGGATGTTGTGGGGGTATCACCATGCAAACGCGGTGAGGATCTGTTTCCAAGAAGACAGTGTGCAGGTGGAGGGCGGGTTGGAGGGGGAGGGGCCGCTGGTGCTGGGGGAAGATGCTGCTGAGCTGATAGGAAGAAAAGCAGCAGAAATACAGTTTTGAGCCTGGTAGCCCAAAAGACAATTCAGTGCCAGCTTGAAGTTGAGTTTGAAGGACACTCCCTTGCATGTCTGAGTGCCTTAAAAACACTGGGCTGTGATGAAAGGTGTTGACTGTTTCTGTCTGAAGATGACTGTTTTGTTTTCAAAGAGAATCAGTTGTATTTAACCTTTGAACAGATTGCTCGAACACATCACGTGCAAGGAGAAAGCTACCTGGTGTATAATATCCTGAGCAGCGGTGAGATCGAGTGCAGCAACACCTTAGAGGACGAGCTGGACCAGGCCCTTCCCAGCCAGGCCTTCATCTACCGCCCCGTGCGGCAGCGTGTCTACTCCCTCCTGCTGGGAGGCAGTGAAGGTGAGGATCACAGGGAAGCCACTGGGAGCTCGACTGAGACACTGGCCAGATGGACAGATACTTTCAGGACACAGAGATAGCTAAATGAGATTGTTTCTCTGTTAGATCTGTAACAGAATACAACTCACATATGTAAAAAACTAAGGATAAGTGCCATGGGACATCTATACCTAATTAACAAGTAGTCAGTCCCTTTTCATTAAAAGAAGAGTGCATGTTTCTATAAAATGTCAGATTGTTATACCTTAAGGATTTGTGCTTCTTAAAGAATGACACCCTTTTATCCTATAGGACTACAGGGGATGTGTGTTACTAGGTGAAGATGGTGTCTACTTAGTCCCCCTCACAATGTGATTTTTATAAAACAGTTTTACAAAGTCTAGTACATAATACTTTAAAATATAAACACAATTTTTCCTTTGGAGATTTGTAATTAAGCTCAGGTGTCTTCTCGTGGGTGCGTGTGCTCCATTGCATGCTTAGCAGCAAGAGCAGAGGAGGCACGTCAAGGGCCAGCGGGGTGCAGCCCAGGGCCCTTCCAGCACAGGGGATGGAGTCGGGGCCAGCATCGTTGCGCAGCTGGTGAAGCCACCGCTTGTGGTTCTCTTCCTGTACCAGTGTGGCTGGTTCAATTCCTAGCTGCTCTGCTACTGTTCCAACAGCAGAAAATGGCCCAGATAGCTGGGTCCCTTCCACCCATTTGGGGGATCAGAATCGAGCCTCCAGCTGCAGCCTGCCCCAGCCCTGGCTGTTGTCATCTGGGAAGTGGACCAGCAGATGGAACTCCCCCTTTCTGTTACTGTACCTTTCAAATAAATACATCTTTTTAAATTTAAAAAAAAAAGATTAGCGTCCTATTCCCTGCGAGGGATAATTTGGGGGGAATTAAGGGCACAGATAAGCTCCTCATGTTGGAAATCCATGTTTGGTTTCCGCACGTTGGGTCAGTCTTGTTCGTACATTGTGGCCTGGCATGATGGAAACGTGGCTAGCACACGTTGGGGCAGCAGCAAAAGCCAGAGAATCCCAGTGAGAGAGTATCTGGTCCGTTTGCCCAACTGGACCCATTTTTTCCAAGTATATCAATGTTATTTTAATAGTATTCTAGGGGCCGCCGCTGTGGTGCAGTGGGTTAAAGCCCTGGCCTGAAGCACCGGCATCCCATATGGGCACCGGTTCTAGTCCCAGCTGCTCCTCTTCTGATCCTGCTCTCTGCTATGGCCTGGGAAAGCAGTAGAAGATGCCCAAGTCCTTGGGCCCCTACACCCATGTGGGAGACCCAGAAGAAGTTCCTGGCTCCTGACTTGGGACCGGTGCAGCTCTGGCTGTTGTGGCCAAATGGGGAGTGAACCAGCGGATGGAAGACCTCTCTCTCTGGCTCCACCTTTCTCTAACTCTGTCTTTCAAGTAAATAAAATAAATCTTTAAAAAAAAATAGTATTCTATTTCAGGAAGTAAGCATTTATATAATCTAGAGGTAGTGATGGGGTCATCATGTGAAACATCATCACTGTTCTTCAGGGGTAGGGTTCTCTGAACTGAGTCCTTGTTAGACTCCCGGCCTCACAGCAGGCCCTGCTTTGCTCGTGTGCGCCGCAAGAGTCAGATTCTTACCAACCTGAGGACGAAAGCACAGAAGTCAGTTCAAGCTGATTTTTTCAAAAGATTTATTTATTTACTTTGAAAGAGTTACACATAGAGAGAAGGAAAGGCAGAGAGAGAGAGAAAGAGGTCTTCCATCCAATGTTTCACTCCCCAGTTGGCTGCAATGGCCAGAGCTGCACTGTTCTAAAGCCAGGAGCTTCCTCTGGATCTCCCACATGGGTGCAGGGGCCCAAGGGCTTGGGCCATCTTCTGCTGCTTTCCCAGGCCACAGCAGAGAGCTGGACCAGAAGTGGAGCAACCGGGTCTTGAACTGGTGCCCATATGGGATGCCGACACTGCATACCCAATATGCCACAGCGCCGGCCTCCAAACTGATTGTAAAACAAGTAAAAGGACGTATGTCAGGGCTGGAACTGGGTGCAGTAGGTTAATCCTCTGCCTGCAGGCCGGCATCACATATGGGAACTGTTTCCAGTCCTGGCAGCTCCACTTCTGATCCAACTCTCTGCTGTGGCCTGGGAGAGCAGTGGAGGATGGCCTAAGTGCTTGGGCCCTTGCACCTGTGTGGGAGACATGGAGGAGGCTGAAACCTTTGAAAATTATCTTTTTTTTTTAAAAAAAGATTCATTTATTTATTTGAAAGTCATAGTTACACAGAGAAAGAGAGGCATACAGAGAGAGAGGTCTTCCATCCACTGGTTCCCTCCCCAGTTGAATTGTGGCATTTAATAGATAATTTTAGGGGTCGGTGCTGTGGCGAAGCGGGTGGAGCCACCGCCTGTGGTGCCAGCATCCCATATGGGTGCCGGTTCTAGTCCCGGCTGCTCCTCTTCCGATCCAGCTCTCTGCTGTGGCCTGGGAAAGCAGTAGAAGATGGCCCAAGTCTTTAGGTCCCTGCACCCATGTGGTAGACCTCGAAGAAGCTCCTGACTTGGGATCGACTCAGCCCCAGTCATTGCGGCCGTCTAGGGAGTGAACTAGCAGATGGAAGACTGACCTCTCTGTCTCTACCTCTCTCTGTAACTCTGTCTTTCAAGTAAATAAAATAAATCTTTAAAAAAAAAAAGTTGGGTTAAATTTTTAAGGAAGTCGCTGAGGGAGACGGAGTCTCCCCTGGCAGTGGTTCTCAGTGCCCTCACCCTGGTATGTGTCCAGTGCATGTCCACTGCCATCTGTCTTTGCCAGAGAACCTGCTAGGATGCTGCTTTGTTGCCCAGTTGTATATTTATCAAGTCTTCCCCCTGAAAACCTCTCTGTGTCCTCTTTATTGTTGATTTGTTGTTTTGCTGTAGACAGAATTTTGCGTGGTTTGTTGCTGACTCTTCTGGCTGCTGCTCTGTCTTGGGAGGTGGCAGTGGTCAAGGTCATTCTTATTCCTGTTCCCTTTATTGAAGTTTCTTTTTTTCCTGTTGAAGATTTTTCTCTCGATTAAGGTTAGTGGGTTTTGGAGTGGTTTACTTTGTTTTACCATGTGAAGTTTTTGAGCTTCTTGAATCTGTTTTTATTTCCTATCAGATTTGAAAAATTGAGCATTATTTCATCAGATTTTTCTCTCACCTCTCCTGCTGGACTGTTTATTGACTTCTGTTCATAAGGGGCCCACATACTTTTGTTTATTCTCATATCAAGTCTTTTTTTATTATAAGCTGGAATATTCTAGATCCTGTGAGGAATGTCAAACTGTGTTCTGCCAGGCAGTTGGTCGACCTGTATGTACTCTCAGGCCTTGCCTGCGAGCTTCCCCAGGGTCTGTCCTAACCTTGACCCCAGAGCTAGCCTAACCCTGCTGTGGGGCCTCTAAGCCAAATCACCCGAGCACCTGGGCATTGAAGGAGGCAGACCCTAGCCAAATGATTACATAGAAAGAAGACGTTATTTTTTTAATTATTAAAAAAACTCCATCTTTTTTTTAATATATGTGAAATTAAGGCTGAGTTGAATGTGTTCACAGATCTTAATTTGTGCACATCTGGTCTGGCTTTGAGGTGGGAACAGGGCTTCTGCTCTCAGGAGTGCTCTGTGGTTGCATTTGCAGTGCCCCAGCAGCGTGCTGTCATTGAGGGCCTGATCTCTGAACCAAGACCTAAGTGAAAGTCAGAAGCAAGGGCAGCCTGAGAGGTCAGCCTCAGGGAGCAGAGAGTTCTAGACCAGTGGACGCTGTGTGCAAAGGTGGAGCCAAGAACAACCTTGGTGTGAAGACTGTGGTCCCGCAGCTTTGCTGGAACATGAGGTGTGAGTCTGTGCCAGTTCTCTGTGGGGTCCCCAGACACACCCCAGCCCAGACTGCTGAGTCAGATGCCCTAGCGTGGAGATGTGGGAGCCTCCCGGACAAAGGGCAGGGTGTGGCAGATGCCTTGGTCAACACGTGTGCTCCAGGCCTTAGGCAGCTCATGAGGGAGGGTGATCTGACAGCAGCCTTATCACACTTGCAGCCTCCTTTTACGGCGCAGAGTGACTTGACTCAGGAGGAACCTAAGGACTGGAAGTGGCCAGGGTCTGTTCCAGCTGACCTGGGCAGGAGACAGCTGTGCCAGCACCAGGCCATAGTGCCTGCTGGTTCCCTAGGTACACAGTATGGGAACGGCACAGCCAGGAAGCTGAAAGTACCTCCACAAGTTAGAGAACAGGGTAAGAAAAGGCACTTGGGGGAAATGGTGAAGCCAGCCTCGGGTAGGCTGGTTCTGAGGCACTGTGGGAAGAGCATAGCATAGTGGTTGGAAGTAGTGGTCCCAGCTGTCTTTACTGAGAGATCCCTGCCTGCAACAGGTCTGCTGCTGACTGCTGTGTGGAGGTGGCACTGTTCTGACTGCTGTGTGGAGATGGCACTGTTCTGACTGCTGTGTGGAGATGGCACTGTTCTGACTGCTGTGTGGAGATGGCACTGTTCTGACTGCTGTGTGGAGATGGTATTTTGCTGACTGCTGTGTGGAGATGGCACTGTTCTGACTGCTGTGTGGAGGTGGTACTGTTCTGACTGCTGTGTGGAGATGGCGCTGTTCTGACTGCTGTGTGGAGATGGTACTTTGCTGACTGCTGTGTGGAGGTGGCACTGTTCTGACTGCTGTGTGGAGATGGTACTTTGCTGACTGCTGTGTGGAGATGGTACTTTGCTGACTGCTGTGTGGAGATGGCACTGTTCTGACTGCTGTGTGGAGGTGGCACTGTTCTGACTGCTGTGTGGAGATGGCACTGTTCTGACTGCTGTGTGGAGATGGTACTTTGCTGACTGCTGTGTGGAGATGGCACTGTTCTGACTGCTGTGTGGAGATGGTACTTTGCTGACTGCTGTGTGGAGATGGTACTTTGCTGACTGCTGTGTGGAGGTGGCACTGTTCTGACTGCTGTGTGGAGGTGGTACTGTTCTGACTGCTGTGTGGAGGTGGCACTGTTCTGACTGCTGTGTGGAGATGGCACTGTTCTGACTGCTGTGTGGAGATGGTACTTTGCTGACTGCTGTGTGGAGGTGGCACTGTTCTGACTGCTGTGTGGAGGTGGTACTGTTCTGACTGCTGTGTGGAGATGGTACTTTGCTGACTGCTGTGTGGAGATGGCACTGTTCTGACTGCTGTGTGGAGATGGTACTTTGCTGACTGCTGTGTGGAGATGGCACTGTTCTGACTGCTGTGTGGAGGTGGCACTGTTCTGACTGCAGTGTGGAGATGGCACTGTTCTGACTGCTGTGTGGAGATGGTACTTTGCTGACTGCTGTGTGGAGGTGGTACTTTGCTGACTGCTGTGTGGAGGTGGCACTGTTCTGACTGCTGTGTGGAGGTGGCACTGTTCTGACTGCTGTGTGGAGATGGTACTGTTCTGACTGCTGTGTGGAGATGGTACTTTGCTGACTGCTGTGTGGAGGTGGCACTGTTCTGACTGCTGTGTGGAGATGGTACTTTGCTGACTGCTGTGTGGAGATGGCACTGTTCTGACTGCTGTGTGGAGATGGTACTTTGCTGACTGCTGTGTGGAGGTGGTACTGTTCTGACTGCTGTGTGGAGGTGGCACTGTTCTGACTGCTGTGTGGAGGTGGCACTGTTCTGACTGCTGTGTGGAGATGGCACTCTTCTGACTGCTGTGTGGAGATGGTACTTTGCTGACTGCTGTGTGGAGGTGGCACTGTTCTGACTGCTGTGTGGAGATGGTACTTTGCTGACTGCTGTGTGGAGATGGTACTTTGCTGACTGCTGTGTGGAGATGGCACTGTTCTGACTGCTGTGTGGAGGTGGCACTGTTCTGACTGCTGTGTGGAGGTGGCACTGTTCTGACTGCTGTGTGGAGGTGGCACTGTTCTGACTGCTGTGTGGAGATGGTACTTTGCTGACTGCTGTGTGGAGGTGGCACTGTTCTGACTGCTGTGTGGAGGTGGCACTGTTCTGACTGCTGTGTGGAGATGGCACTGTTCTGACTGCTGTGTGGAGATGGTACTTTGCTGACTGCTGTGTGGAGGTGGTACTGTTCTGACTGCTGTGTGGAGATGGCACTGTTCTGACTGCTGTGTGGAGGTGGCACTGTTTTGACTGATGTTTGGAGATGGTACTGTTCTTACTGCTGTGTGGAGGTGGTACCGTTCTGACTGCTGTGTGGAGATGGCACTGTTCTGACTGCTGTGTGGAGATGGTACTTTGCTGACTGCTGTGTGGAGGTGGCACTGTTCTGACTGCTGTGTGGAGGTGGTACTTTGCTGACTGCTGTGTGGAGGTGGCACTGTTCTGACTGCTGTGTGGAGATGGCACTGTTCTGACTGCTGTGTGGAGATGGTACTTTGCTGACTGCTGTGTGGAGGTGGCACTGTTCTGACTGCTGTGTGGAGGTGGCACTGTTCTGACTGCTGTGTGGAGATGGTACTTTGCTGACTGCTGTGTGGAGGTGGCACTGTTCTGACTGCTGTGTGGAGATGGTACTGTTCTGACTGCTGTGTGGAGGTGGTACTGTTCTGACTGCTGTGTGGAGATGGCACTGTTCTGACTGCTGTGTGGAGGTGGCACTGTTTGACTGATTTTGGAGATGGTACTGTTCTGACTGCTTTGTGGAGATGGTACCGTTCTGACTGCTGTGTGGAGGTGGTACTGTTCTGACTGCTGTGTGGAGATGGTACTTTGCTGACTGCTGTGTGGAGATGGCACTGTTCTGACTGCTGTGTGGAGGTGGCACTGTTCTGACTGCTGTGTGGAGATGGCACTGTTCTGACTGCTGTGTGGAGGTGGCACTGTTCTGACTGCTGTGTGGAGATGGCACTGTTCTGACTGCTGTGTGGAGATGGTACTTTGCTGACTGCTGTGTGGAGGTGGCACTGTTCTGACTGCTGTGTGGAGATGGCACTGTTCTGACTGCTGTGTGGAGATGGTACTTTGCTGACTGCTGTGTGGAGGTGGCACTGTTCTGACTGCTGTGTGGAGATGGTACTTTGCTGACTGCTGTGTGGAGATGGTACTTTGCTGACTGCTGTGTGGAGATGGCACTGTTCTGACTGCTGTGTGGAGGTGGCACTGTTCTGACTGCTGTGTGGAGGTGGCACTGTTCTGACTGCTGTGTGGAGGTGGCACTGTTCTGACTGCTGTGTGGAGATGGTACTTTGCTGACTGCTGTGTGGAGGTGGCACTGTTCTGACTGCTGTGTGGAGATGGCACTGTTCTGACTGCTGTGTGGAGATGGTACTTTGCTGACTGCTTTGTGGAGATGGTACCGTTCTGACTGCTGTGTGGAGATGGCACTGTTCTGACTGCTGTGTGGAGGTGGCACTGTTTTGACTGATGTTTGGAGATGGTACTGTTCTTACTGCTTTGTGGAGATGGTACCGTTCTGACTGCTGTGTGGAGATGGCACTGTTCTGACTGCTGTGTGGAGATGGTACTTTGCTGACTGCTGTGTGGAGGTGGCACTGTTCTGACTGCTGTGTGGAGGTGGTACTTTGCTGACTGCTGTGTGGAGGTGGCACTGTTCTGACTGCTGTGTGGAGATGGCACTGTTCTGACTGCTGTGTGGAGATGGTACTTTGCTGACTGCTGTGTGGAGGTGGCACTGTTCTGACTGCTGTGTGGAGGTGGCACTGTTCTGACTGCTGTGTGGAGATGGTACTTTGCTGACTGCTGTGTGGAGGTGGCACTGTTCTGACTGCTGTGTGGAGATGGTACTGTTCTGACTGCTGTGTGGAGGTGGTACTGTTCTGACTGCTGTGTGGAGATGGCACTGTTCTGACTGCTGTGTGGAGGTGGCACTGTTTTGACTGATGTTTGGAGATGGTACTGTTCTGACTGCTTTGTGGAGATGGTACCGTTCTGACTGCTGTGTGGAGGTGGTACTGTTCTGACTGCTGTGTGGAGATGGTACTTTGCTGACTGCTGTGTGGAGATGGCACTGTTCTGACTGCTGTGTGGAGATGGCACTGTTCTGACTGCTGTGTGGAGATGGTACTTTGCTGACTGCTGTGTGGAGGTGGCACTGTTCTGACTGCTGTGTGGAGATGGCACTGTTCTGACTGCTGTGTGGAGATGGTACTTTGCTGACTGCTGTGTGGAGGTGGCACTGTTCTGACTGCTGTGTGGAGGTGGTACTTTGCTGACTGCTGTGTGGAGGTGGCACTGTTCTGACAACTGTGTGGAGGTGGTACTGTTCTGACTGCTGTGTGGAGATGGTACTTTGCTGACTGCTGTGTGGAGATGGCACTGTTCTGACTGCTGTGTGGAGATGGTACTTTGCTGACTGCTGTGTGGAGGTGGCACTGTTCTGACTGCTGTGTGGAGGTGGCACTGTTCTGACTGCTGTGTGGAGATGGTACTTTGCTGACTGCTGTGTGGAGGTGGCACTGTTCTGACTGCTGTGTGGAGATGGTACTGTTCTGACTGCTGTGTGGAGGTGGTACTGTTCTGACTGCTGTGTGGAGATGGCACTGTTCTGACTGCTGTGTGGAGGTGGCACTGTTTTGACTGATGTTTGGAGATGGTACTGTTCTGACTGCTTTGTGGAGATGGTACCGTTCTGACTGCTGTGTGGAGGTGGTACTGTTCTGACTGCTGTGTGGAGATGGTACTTTGCTGACTGCTGTGTGGAGGTGGCACTGTTCTGACTGCTGTGTGGAGATGGTACTTTGCTGACTGCTGTGTGGAGATGGCACTGTTCTGACTGCTGTGTGGAGATGGCACTGTTCTGACTGCTGTGTGGAGATGGTACTTTGCTGACTGCTGTGTGGAGGTGGCACTGTTCTGACTGCTGTGTGGAGATGGCACTGTTCTGACTGCTGTGTGGAGGTGGTACTGTTCTGACTGCTGTGTGGAGGTGGCACTGTTCTGACTGCTGTGTGGAGGTGGTACTTTGCTGACTGCTGTGTGGAGGTGGCACTGTTCTGACTGCTGTGTGGAGATGGTACTGTTCTGACTGCTGTGTGGAGATGGTACTTTGCTGACTGCTGTGTGGAGGTGGTACTGTTCTGACTGCTGTGTGGAGGTGGCACTGTTATGACTGCTGTGTGGAGATGGTACTGTTCTGACTGCTGTGTGGAGGTGGCACTGTTCTGACTGCTGTGTGGAGGTGGCACTGTTTTGACTGCTGTGTGGAGATGGTACTTTGCTGACTGCTGTGTGGAGATGGTACTGTTCTGACTGCTGTGTGGAGGTGGCACTGTTCTGACTGCTGTGTGGAGGTGGCACTGTTCTGACTGCTGTGTGGAGATGGTAGTTTGCTGACTGCTGTGTGGAGATGGTACCGTTCTGACTGCTGTGTGGAGATGGCACTGTTCTGGCTGCTGTGTGGAGATGGTACTTTGCTGACTGCTGTGTGGAGATAGCACTGTTCTGACTGCTGTGTGGAGATGGTACTTTGCTGACTGCTGTGTGGAGGTGGCACTGTTCTGACTGCTGTGTGGAGGTGGCACTGTTATGACTGCTGTGTGGAGATGGTACTTTGCTGACTGCTGTGTGGAGATGGTACCGTTCTGACTGCTGTGTGGAGATGGCACTGTTCTGACTGCTGTGTGGAGATGGCACTGTTCTGACTGCTGTGTGGAGGGCACTGTTCTGACTGCTGTGTGGAGATGGTACTTTGCTGACTGCTGTGTGGAGGTGGTACTTTGCTGACTGCTGTGTGGAGGTGGTACTTTGCTGACTGCTGTGTGGAGATGGTACTTTGCTGACTGCTGTGTGGAGGTGGCACTGTTCTGACTGCTGTGTGGAGGTGGCACTGTTCTGACTGCTGTGTGGAGGTGGTACTGTTCTGACTGCTGTGTGGAGATGGCACTGTTCTGACTGCTGTGTGGAGATGGTACTTTGCTGACTGCTGTGTGGAGGTGGCACTGTTCTGACTGCTGTGTGGAGGTGGCACTGCTTTGACTGATGTTTGGAGATGGTACTGTTCTGACTGCTGTGTGGAGGTGGTACTTTGCTGACTGCTGTGTGGAGATGGCACTGTTCTGACTGCTGTGTGGAGATGGTACTTTGCTGACTGCTGTGTGGAGGTGGCACTGTTCTGACTGCTGTGTGGAGGTGGCACTGTTCTGACTGCTGTGTGGAGATGGTACTTTGCTGACTGCTGTGTGGAGGTGGCACTGTTCTGACTGCTGTGTGGAGGTGGTACTGTTCTGACTGCTGTGTGGAGATGGCACTGTTCTGACTGCTGTGTGGAGATGATACTTTGCTGACTGCTGTGTGGAGGTGGCACTGTTCTGACTGCTGTGTGGAGGTGGTACTTTGCTGACTGCTGTGTGGAGATGGTACTTTGCTGACTGCTGTGTGGAGGTGGCACTGTTCTGACTGCTGTGTGGAGGTGGCACTGTTCTGACTGCTGTGTGGAGATGGTGCTTTGCTGACTGCTGTGTGGAGGTGGTACTGTTCTGACTGCTGTGTGGAGATGGCACTGTTCTGACTGCTGTGTGGAGATGGTACTTTGCTGACTGATGGGTGAGATGGCACTGTTCTGACTGCTGTGTGGAGGTGGCACTGTTTTGACTGATGTTTGGAGATGGTACTGTTCTGACTGCTTTGTGGAGATGGTACCGTTCTGACTGCTGTGTGGAGATGGCACTGTTCTGACTGCTGTGTGGAGATGGCACTGTTCTGACTGCTGTGTGGAGATGGTACTTTGCTGACTGCTGTGTGGAGGTGGCACTGTTCTGACTGCTGTGTGGAGGTGGCACTGTTCTGACTGCTGTGTGGAGATGGTACTTTGCTGACTGCTGTGTGGAGGTGGTACCGTTCTGACTGCTGTGTGGAGATGGCACTGTTCTGACTGCTGTGTGGAGGTGGCACTGTTCTGACTGCTGTGTGGAGATGGCACTGTTCTGACTGCTGTGTGGAGGTGGTACTTTGCTGACTGATGGGTGAGATGGCACTGTTCTGACTGCTGTGTGGAGATGGTACTTTGCTGACTGCTGTGTGGAGGTGGCACTGTTCTGACTGCTGTGTGGAGGTGGCACTGTTCTGACTGCTTTGTGGAGATGGTACCGTTCTGACTGCTGTGTGGAGATGGTACCGTTCTGACTGCTGTGTGGAGGTGGCACTGTTCTGACTGATGTTTGAAGATGGTACTGCTCCTGACTGTTGTGTGGAGGTGGCACTGCAGCTGACGAATGTGTGGAGATGGCATTTTTCTAACTGTTGTGTGGAGGTAGCACTGTTGCCTGCCTGTCACGTTGTGAGGACTGCTTGAGAGGTCTGCTCACAGCAACCTTGAGGGGCGACTGCTCCTGTGTTCCTAGCGTAGTTGTCTAGAGCTCAGGAGAGGGGTGGGGCCATCAGCCTTTGTGGTCTAGGGTAGTGAAGGAGTACACCAGGGCAGCTTTGCCAAGAAGACAAGATGGAGGCCAGGTAGGGAGGCCCCAGAGGGGACAGGAGAGACCAGGCACAGAGAAGGCAGGGCACAAGGAATGAGCAGCACCCATTGCATTTCACAGCCAGGCGGCCGTTGGTCGTTGCCGGCACTTGCAGAGCTGTTTGGGGGCCAATGAGGGAATGAGCAGGCGAAGTCCCCTTCTTTGAGGTGGGGGCTCCGGAGCAGCAGCAGAGGACTTGGAGCCCAAGGGGTGTGCTCGTTAAGTGCCCAGCAAGAGGCTTGGGAGGCAGAAGGGCTAGCGGCAGAGTGGTTTCTGGGGATGGAATCCGAGGACTTGGGGCAGCTGATGTAGTAGGATGGGCGGCAGCACTCCTGTTTCTGGCATTGCGTCTCCTTCACACCAGCTCTGTGGCATGAGGGAGCTGAAGTCAGGGAGTTCTTAGGGCCATTGCTAATCTAGCACAGACGTGCCTTTGTTCTACATTGTTTCTACCAGGTCTTTGAATATCTCACCTAGTAAGTTTTCAAGCTGTTTGAAGTAGAAAGTTGAAGACCAGCAAGGACTCATATTCTAGCTGTTTTTTCTGCAGTTGTTTGGAGCAGAGGGATGGGTCAGGGATACTGTAGACACCCTCAGGCCAATTACGTAAGGCAGGGCTTCTGTTGGAAGGAGCTGACTTTCTTCGGTTTGGAGAGGGCACCACTCCATGGGACTCAGTGTCCATGGTGTGAGAACTCATGTACGTAGCACTGAGTGGCCCTCACACATCCCAGTGTGAGCCTGCTGACCCAGCTGTCTTTACTCAGATGACACCAGCACCGGCCCGACAGTCAAGGAGTGGTTCGTGTACCCTGGGAACCCCCTGAAGCACCCAGACCTCGTCAGGCCTCTGCCGATGACTGTTCCAGGTACAGACAGCCTCAGTCTAAGCCATCCACAAATGTGTTCACGGTAAGATTTAAGTCCAGGAACGGATCGTCGTGGAAGGATCTTTCATTCCAGCCCTGGCCCGGAGTGAGTGAGTGTCTGTCTAGTAAGGCCGTCGAACTGCACAGTCTGTTCTGAGCTCTGCCTTCCACACCCTGTCCACAGCCCACAGTCGTCCCTCAGCAAACACCACTGAGGTGAGCAGCGTTGGGTTCTTGGTGCTCTGCAGGAAGCAGCTCTTGTCTCTGAAAGTCTTCTGTTCAGTTATAGACCTGGAAATGGAAGGGAAGGATGACTTAAGTTGATTGGAAAAAGAGTTTTATTTTTTATGGACAGTATCTTAAAGCACAGTGCATGGGAAGGAAACACAAAATTTGTCTACAGATGGACTGAAATAAATCCAGAGAGCAGCCTGGCCTCCTGCAACTCCCGAGTAGCTGTTGGGGCTGCTACCCATGCAGAGCCTCAAGCTGCAGGTTTGTTTCTAGTGTCCTGCGTCACTGTTTGAGAGAGCAGGTATTTTCTGAAATGTTGATACTCCGCTGTCACCCCACCTCCCCCAGGTGAGTGTGTGGTTGGCCTCATGTGTCTAAGCGCTGTGAGGAGGCTTTCATGTAGGCGTTGTGTTGTGGAAGAAACTGAGAAGGGTGTCATAGGGAATGTTTTCTTCTGTTAATCAGTGGTAGACTCACAACTAGAAAAGTAGCTCCTACAAAGCAAATCTAAATGCAGTGACGTTTGTTCTGACAAAAAGAAAACCAAATAATTTTCCAAAAATGTTTTGTTCTGTGTGTTAATTGCTATTTTGGAATATCTATCCAAAAATAACATGGAAAAGAATTGTTAGAACCCTCACATTTGGGCTATCATTATGTTATGAATTATTATTATTATTATTATTTCTGACAGAGTTAGAGAGAGAGAGAGAGACAGAGAGAAAGGTCTTCCTTTTTCCGTTGGTTCACCCCCCAAGTGGCCACTGCAGCTGGCGCGTTGTGGCTGGCGCGCTGCACCGATCCGAAGCCAGGATCCAGGTGCTTCCTCCTGGTCTCCCATGCGGGTACAGGGCCCAAGCACTTGGACCATCCTCCACTGCACTCCCGGGCCACAGCAGAGAGCTGGACTGGAAGAGGAGCAACCGGGACAGAATCTGGCGCCCCAACCGGGACAAGAACCCGGAGTGCCGGTGCCGCAGGCAGAGGATTAGCTTAGTGAGCTGTGGCGCCGGCCCATGTTATGGATTAATGTGTTGATAAACTCTAGCAGCCACACGGGTGTGGGAGGAGCTCCCCTGCTTGGGGTTCCAAGCCTGCCTCCCGCCTGGGAAAGGATGTGGAAGCACGTGTGGAGGAGCCTGGCTGGACAGACACAGCTGTGCCCACTGCCAGCGAACCTGGAACAGGACTCAAGATGAATACTCTTTCCGTGTTTTTGATAATGGCAATAAAAAAAGACAAGATTTTGAAATTTAAATACTTTTCAGTATCCTCAAGGAAAATTGCCACGTGATTATAGATTAAAGTGAAGACAGGCCACCCAGCTCCCTGCTTATGGGCTGATGGGAGGTCCTCTCCCTCGACCTGTTGGGAACCGGAAAGTGCTCTAGCTGTCTTAGGGTCTCAGGTGTCTGGGTTTTCTTTTCTGCAAAGATTTATTTATTTTTCTTTTAAGATTTATTTATTTATTTGAAAGGCAGAGTTAGAGAGGGAGAGGCAGAGAAATCTTCCACCTGCTGGTTCACTCCCAAAATGGCTTCAGGGCTAGAGCTGGACCAGGCTGAAGCCAGGAGCCAGGATCTTCTTCCAGGTCTCTTTTTAAGACTTTTCTCCATTAGCACATGTGGTTTAATGTTTGCTTTCTTCAATGGCAGAAAAAAAAACACAGATTTTTTTTTTTCAGCAAAGTGGAAAGGAGGCAGAAGACCGAAGAAAAAAATTATAAAAGCAGTTAAAAATTGGGATGGGGGAAGAATTAAAGATTGACCAGACCAGTCAATGAGCAGAAAAAGAAATCTCATTACTGGTTGCCAAGGTCTGAGTGCGTGCTGCGGCATCCCCCGTGCGATACACTGGGACTCAGTGACTGGTGGCACTGATGCCCTACAGAGACTCCGGTGGACTCCCTGCCCCTGCAGCTCTGAAAACAGGCTCAGGAGGTGCCACCAGTCACCCGGGAGCTGGGCGCTCACCACACACAGCCATGCTGGGACCTTGGCCTTGACCTTCCCTGTCTCTGGAACCTGGAGAAGTGGTTCTGTGTTGTTATGTCTTTGTTGTTGTTGTTGTTGTTTTATTTTTTTGACAGGCAGAGTGGACAGTGAGAGAGAGAAAGGTCTTCCTTTGCTGTTGGTCCACCCTCCAATGGCCGCTGCGGCCAGCGCTCTGTGGCCGGCGCACTGCGCTGATCCGATGGCAGGAGCCAGGTACTTCTCCTGGTCTCCCATGGGGTGCAGGGCCCAAGGACTTGGGCCATCCTCCACTGCACTCCCTGGCCGTAGCAGAGAGCTGCCCTGGAAGAGGGGCAACCGGGACAGAATCCGGCACCCCGACCGGGACTAGAACCCGGTGTGCCGGCGCCACAAGGCAGAGGATTAGCCTAGTGAGCCGCGGCGCCGGCTCTGTGTTGTTATGTCACTCAGGTTTTGTCATGGCAACTTGAGTAACAGATACGAGTCTGTCTTGTTCAGATTCATTCCTGCTCATGAGTCCCATCGATGTTCCCCATCCTTGCCTACATGCATGTGTGTGCTGCCTTTAGTGTGTCATGGAAGATGTTACACCCCTCTCCCTGTACCTCGCTCAGACTTGTGTCTACACTCTGCACACGCTGACCCTGCACCTGCGCTGTGTGTTGTGAAACAGCCGTAAGTCTCTGGGGCTGCAGACTCTGTCCAGACACAGTGCAGGACGCGTAGGAAAGCTTCAGCAGCCGCACTGAGGTTTTCTGGTCCCGGCGCCTCACGTCGCTGAGACTGCTGGAGGTTTTCGTCTGGGTTCTTGATGCGTATAGGCCGAGAAAGTCTTGGCCGATCTCGCAAGTTTCTGTGTGCGGAGTGCATGTACTCCGTGAGGCGCTGCTGGCATGGCCGCCAGTCTCTGGGTCACTCCGACTACTGGGGACCCAGATGGGTAGGAGGCAGCTCAGTTGTTTTTCTCCCATTTGTGAGAGGAGTGTGGAGCTGTGCCAAATAAACGTATGTTACATGTACATGTTAAAAGAGTCACAAGACATGTTATTGACATACCACTTGTACACGTTAGAGTACGGTTACATGTACACGTTGGAGTCGCAGGACAGGATATTGACAGTGGACACATGAGTCATGAGACAGATTTATCAACATGCTACATGGACATGTCAGAGTGGTGAGCTGTGTTATATGTGTGTTACCTGGACACAGTAGAGTCTTAAGAAGGGTTGCCAGCACATTGTGTGGCCATGTTAGAGTCAGGACACAGACTATCGACATGCCAGTGCACACGTTAGTCACAAGACGGGTCATCAGTGTTCTTGTACATGCTACAGTTGTGAGACGAGGGTTGACTTTTGCACTGAAGGCTCTCTGTGGCCGTACTCAGTGTGCTTTGATTGCATTAGAGGAGCCACGTGGTGGTGTCTCCTGGCATGCGTGATGGTGAACACCCTCCCTGTAAGCGCAGTTCCATAGCTTGAGGTGCTAAGACTGCTCTGCTCACGGCTGAATGCATGTTGCTTTATTAAACTTTATTCAGCTAGAGTGAAGAGTCACCTTACATGTGAGTGATCAGCGTTTGTATTTTGCTTTCTTGTGGCCATGGATATTTTACCAACAGAATGCTAAACAAATACTCATTTACATTGAACTTGTGAATGAAAATTTTCATACATGAACTTTAGATGAAGGTAGATGCGAGTGAAGTCTAAGACTTTCACTTCTCACATCCCCAGAGTGTACACAAACTGAACAGTTTTTGTTTTGTTTTACCCTAGAAATATGTGAGGAAAATATCTCAAAACTCCTAAGCATGATTATGTCAGCATGTTGTGTGACGGCTAGGCATCTGATGTGTCTGCCCATGTCCATGTTGGCAGCTGTGGAAGTGTAGAGTGTGCCTTGTCCCTCATGAGATATGACTGTACCCTGGCCTGCAGAGCCTGTCTGTCCTCATGGTCTCTCAGAAGCTTTTACAAATCACATACCCAGGTTTTTGACACTGATGTGTTTGGATATGATGCTGGTGGGTGGACGGAGACTGGCCAGTGTCTTGTTTAAATCTTGCTGCAAATGTCTCAACTACCCATGGAGTTCGGGTGAAAGGAAAGGCCCTCTGGTCTTTGTTTCCTGAGTCTGTCCTTAACCACAGCCAGATTGAGTGTGAGAGAGTGAGGGTGTGTGTGTGTGTGTGTGTGTGTGTGTGAGAGAGAGAGTGTACACTTGTGAGCGCCAGTGTGCACATGTGTGAGAGACCATGTGAGAGTGTGTGAGTTGTGTATGCATGTAAGATGGTATGAGTGTAGCATGTGTTAGCCTGTGTGAGGGGTCTACTGTCCTATGACAGTGTGTCCTCTAATTCTGATTAGAGTTTTGTATACACATCCAGTCTCACACATATCCACACATGCAGTCACAAATATGCTTATAAAGTGCGCACACATGTTCACATTCATGCATTCACTTAAGCACTTATACACATATGCCCACACATATGCTCATACATTTGTGCTTATACACACATTCTCACACATGCACAGTCTCACATGTGTGCATACACATTATGCTCACATACATGCACACACGTAAACTTGTACACATACACTCACGCAGTCTTGTGCTCCCACATACTCACACACACATGTGCACACACACATACACATTCCTTTATTCCCAACAATTTCCTTTGTGTTAGGTAGTCCCAGCCTTCACAGGTTATCACACCAGAGCCAGTCATTTTTCTTGGAGTGTATTTGTCACTAGAGGAGAGCTAACCTGAATGGTCCTTCAAAAAATTCACATGTGGACCAACGTGCCACAGTGCATTAAGCCACAGATTGTGTTGCCAACATCCCATCATTACATCACTGACTCCAGCTGTAAGAAGTGGAGAGGCTGATGGGCAGGATGTGGGGTTAAGACAGTGGAGAGGGGAGTGCAGGAGGGCTGTGTCGTGTACCCATAGCTGCTTCCTTGCAACCCCCAGAGAAGGTGCCTCCATCAGAAAACCCAGCCTCCCGTTTCCTGCCCATCTCCTTAGAAGCCCCCTCGATTCCCCTGCCCTGATTGCTGTGTTGCTGTCTTGGACTTTCAGTGTTTGACAAAACCTTTGCACGCTTGCATTGTAATTTGTTTGCATGACCTCCTGCTAGCTCTTCAGAGGCAACCAGGTGAGAAGGCGGCTGGCACACGACTGGTCTGTTCCCTGCTGTCCGACAGTCTTCCCTGGCTGCCAAGGTCATTGCATGCCATTGCTGTCTACCAGGAAGCCGCTCGTCGGTCCCTTCCACCATGGTTGGTTCCAAGTGCATTCTGTGAACCTCCATTTTTTATATAGCCTTTTATGTGTGAGCAAGTGAAAAATAAGGACCTCACAGCTGTGTAGGTGGATTTTTTTGTATGCCTGAGGAAGGACTGGCCAGCTGCATTCCAAAGTGTGGTTTTACACGGTAGCAGAATTGTGAATTATTTCTGTTTTCTTCTTTATGTTTTTCTATTTTTAAAAAAAAAAACTCTTAAAATGTCTGCTTTCTCTAGTCAGAAAAAAATGCTTTTCAAGTACTTAGTGTATGAAGTAACTGTGGTATGGAGACTCTCTGTTTACCATAGATCAGAGTTCGGCCGACTTTGTAGAGGGTCAGATAGAATCTGACGGGCTTTGCTTGGTGGGTTTCGTTTCATGATAAACATGCGGGCCATTTCAGCCTGTGTCTGTTGCACAGCTGGGTGGCCTAACAGTGAGTCCCAGTTGCCGCGAGTGTTGGGCCGGTTTTGCCAGGGACTCGGGGGCATCCGGTCAGCTCTGGCTCCCTCCTGCCTGCCCTGAGCTGCAGCCATGTGTCTTCACCCAGGTTTCTGACTTTTGTAATCTACATGTGTATATAAAGTACAGAAAGGAAACACCAGAAGTTAGGTTGCAGGAGCTGTGTTTGTTTCCCAGTCCACAGACGGTCTTCCTCCAAGCCATGGGGTCGGTGCAGGCCCCTCCATCAGGGTGTCCCCACAGCTGGCTGCTCTGCACTTGGGAGTTTGAAAACCACGGGTGGAAGGGGGTGTGGGTGGTGGCTGCGTGGATCTTGGCTCTGTCCTGGAGACACGTCGGGGAAGTGCTCTGGCCACAGGGCAGCATGGAGGAACAAAGCCTCTCGTTTCCCCTAAAATGTAGCCGCTAGAAAGAAGGGGAGGAGGAGGAAGTGAGACATAAATGCTGGCCCTTTTGTTGTGATTCTTAGGAAGCCGTGTTCTCGTTCACGCCCTTGGCTCCTTCGAGCTTGAAAGCCCCACGTGTGTCAGGAAGGAAGAGCCTCGTTTCCACTTATTGAATTTCTAGAGGAGTTGTATTATAACTCGCCACTGCAAAAAATAATAACACATGGAGGGGCTTTATTTTATTTATTTATTTTTTTTAACTAGGGGGAACGCCTAGTTTGAAAATATTATGGCTGAACCAAGAGCCAGAAGCTCAGGCCCGGCGCTTGGACACACTCCTAGCCTGTTTCAACCTCTCCTCCTCCAAGGAAGAGCTGCAGGCCGTCGAAAGCCCCTTTAAAGCCTTGTGCTGCCTCTTGATCTACTTGTTTGTCCAGGTAACACTGCACTGCGGGTCCAGGGGTGCAGCTTGCCCTTTGCTGCTGGTCTCATCTTGGGGGTGGTACTTAAGGATGTGCTAGGCCAGTCCGGGTCGTCTTTTTCCAATGTCTAGCCTCCTGAGGTACTCTAAAAGTAAAATGAAGGTCCTCTGGGACAGTGGCCTTGATGGCTTCACCTGTCCTGCAGGGAAGAGATCTGCTGAGCCTTGCTTCACTTCTCTCCAGCTGTGGACCCTGCTGTGCCTTCCCCAGTCTGGGCTGGGTCTGCTGCTTTGGGGTTAGGGGTGGCACCAGGACTTGACTGGAGATCTGCTGCTTCCTGGGTGGCCTCTGCCTCTGGGCTGATCACTTTGCTTTCCTAAGTCGTGTTGACTTTCAACCAAGCAAAGTCATCAGCTCCTCTCTTACTTCTAGGCTGAAACGGGAAATGGGAATGGTTACCTCCTCGTGTTCTAGGGCAGGCATGTTCTAGAAAGCACAGAGCCTAGTAAGTATCCACCAGGCCACCAGCACTTGGCCAGTGTGACCAGTGCACCACGTGCTATGGGCCATTTGACAGTCACACTGTTTTTTGTTTTATTTTAAAGATTTGTTTTACTTATTTGAAAGGCAGTTTCAGAGAGAGAGAGACAGATCTTCTACCTGCTGGTGCACTCCCCAAATGCCTGCAGTGACTGGGGCTGTACTGGGCCAAGCCTGGAGCCTGGAGCTTCATCCGGGTCTCCCACATGGGTGGTAGGAGCCCAAGCACTTGGACCATCTTCCACTGCCTTCCCAGGCCAATTAGCAAGGAGCTAGATTGAAAGTGGGGCAGCCGAGGCTCAGAATGGTGCTCGTATGGGATGCCAGTGTTGCCCGAGGTGGCCTCACGCGTGATAACAGTGCCGGCCCCAGAGTTTCTTTCCACTAGTTTTAGTTTTTGTGTGAAAATTGTAACTGCCATCAAAAAGGTTTGCCTCTTTAGTAGTTCTCTATATCCGTGGTGGTATTTGGATTCCCCAGTGGAAGGAGGGTGGGCTGAGCCTCCCGCCCCAGCCCTGTGTCTCTGCTCTGTTACCTGAAGGCCATGTTTGCCTCGCTGTTCCTGTGGTGCATGGAGACTGGCTGTTGGTCTCTCTTGACCCCTTGTAGCCTCTTGTCAGCACTTCTGATCTGCCTGTGGGATGGAATTCTTTTCAACCCTGAGGCTGCTGAGTCCCTGTCTCACTGTAGATCACATCTCACGGAACCCTACACTGATGTCACCTTTCTGGTGTCCCGGGGCTAGCTCTGCATTCTGCATTTTGTTCCCAGAGAACTTCCACTGTTTCAGCATTGTTTTCGACACGCACCAGCATGAACTGTAGTTTTTGAATTTCTGTTTTGAGTAGAATACTTCTTTATTTGTGCAAGACTTAGAAAAGCATAAATTAATGTAAGATGGCATGAATGACTTTTAAGCTAAATAGTCGTGCATATGTGAGCAGTTAGTATTATCTGTCCACTGTTGGTGAGTCTGGAGGTGAGATGGAGCGCTAGTAGGGATTTGGGAGTAGTGGATACCAGTAAGTGGAGTTTTCCCATACATAGAAATGTGTGCTTTGTTCTCGATGCACAGGTGCCCGTGGGTGCCGTAGGGGTGCCTGGAGGGCAGCTCTCTTGGGATGTCCAAGAGGATTTGTTTCTTTCAGCAGTGGAGGTGGGGGGTCTCTTCGAGATGATGGTCACTTACGAAAATCCACTCATGCAGAAAAGCCCACAGACCCAAAACAGCAACCTGCACCCTCTATCTATATAGACCCCAAACAGGACAGGCAGCAGGAGGAAGGTCCCCACCGTGCCTTTTTCTCATTGCTAATGCCCTCTTCTTTCTGTAACCTTTTTTTAACAGAAGTTTTTTTTTGTTTTTTTTTAATATTAATTTGAAAGGCCAAAGTTATGGAGAGAGAGAGAGCTCCTCCATCTGTTGGTTCACTCTCCAAATGGCTAAAACACTGGATGCTCTACTTCTGATCCAGTTAATGGCCTGGGAAAGCAGCAGACCACATGGGAGAACTGGATGGGGTTATAGTCCTGGCTTCGGGCTGGGCATCCAGGACTTGAAGTGTTGCTCATATGGGATGCCGGCGTTGCAGGTGGCGGCTTAATCCCCTACACCACGAAACGCTGTCCCCTTTTATTTATTTATTTTTCAAGGAAAGACAGCTTCCATGTGTTGGTAGGAAATACCTGCAAAATGCAGAACGGGGGACCCTGAAGCCAGGAGCTGGGAATTCAGTCCAGGACTCCCGCATGGTAGCAGGAACCCAATCATTTGTGCATCTGTGCTGCCTCCCAGGTTGACATTAGCAGGAAGCTGGAGTCAGGAGCCAGAGCGCCAATGTGCACCCCGGCCCCCCGCCATGGGATGCAGGCATTGCAGCTGCTGGCCTTTTAAGTGAAGTCTCCTCAGTGTACATCAGCACACGTGCACTTGACAGCTCAGCTTTGAAGGAGGTATTTAAATTGGAGATTCCTAAAGCTAGAGAATAGCAAATATGGCATCTGTTAGGTTAAGAAGGTCCTAGGAATGATGATTCAGAATTAAAAAGGCTAGGAAAATAAATTTGAAAAGGTACAGTGTACATGTTGATGTGTGATCTGTAGTTGGACACTCGTCAGTGTGTGGAAACCGGGCTGACCTCCAGCTTGACAACCCCAGGTTTGACTCAAGACGCACTTGAGAAACCCTGGAAGAGTACGTCTGTGTCATAGAAACGGTGCGTAGAATCTATGGTACAGCAAGTGCCGTATAATTGCGCATTATACTTTGTGATCCTTAATGCGATGCACTAGGTGAAGTTCTACAAGAATTTAATAAGAAACTTGGATGGCCTCTGATAGATTTAGCTTTGTCAACTGCAAAAACGGTAACAGATGTGAAGTTGGTTCATGAGAAAGAATGTGACATCAGACCTTATTCTGTCCTCATGGGTTGGTATTTGAGGAGCTTTCTTCAAAAGTCACAGAGGACAAAAGTGGGGTTCTGTGTCCACACATCTCAAGGGGTGTCCGTGCTTGGCGCTGCTGCTGAGCCTGGGGTCTTCTGGGCTTTAAGGACAGTGTGCGTCCGCAGATTTCCTGGACAGGTGGGCTTGCAGTCACTCGAGGTGATGCCTCCTTTGACTAAAATGGAATGGGCAGTGGGGTCAGTCAGAAAGTTGCCAGACCTCTGCTCTGTTGGCCTCCACCAGATGGAGAGACAAGAGCCAGCGAGAGTTTCCTGGTTAGGGTGAGCAGGAGTCCTCACAAGTAGGCCTGATTTGGGTGGGGAGGCGTTGTCATCGGGGGCAGGCATGCTGGCCAGTTTCATTCTCTCGGACAGATCATGAACTCATCCATAGGTGTGTTGTTCCCCTCAGAATCTGCTCCTTTACGAAAAGTTCTGGTGGTGACAGTGGGATTGTGCAGTGGCCCAGGACCACGTGTCTTTGTAGCAAAACCTGGCAGCTGAGCAGAGGGCGCGTGCGCCGTGGCTTCCTGCCTCCCCTTGCCACAGCTGATGGACAGCTGCCATTCTGTGTGTTCTTGCTCTGCCCTCCTTGTTCCCCACTTGAGCCAGTCCTGTGGTCCTCAAGCATCGGCAGGACTCGGGGTGGGATCCTGATTTACGCGGGCTCGAGGCCCTGCTCTGTCTGTGTCTGCTCGGCGTGGTTTGTGCCCACTGAAGACCTGGACTTGGCTGCTCCCAGACATGCTGGGCTTTCTGCCTTGCCAGGCAGTGACCCTCCTGGAAGTCCAGGTTCCCCTGTGCAGAGGGGCTGTGGTGGTGAGGGAGGAGCCTACACATCACGCCCAGCATCTGCTATGCGAGGCCTGGTGCACCTCGCATGTGTGCCCGTGTCTGCCACCGTGTGCTTGTGCGTGCAGCCGTGGTGCCCGCAGCTCTCTTGAGAAGAAGTGCTGGACTCTTCCTGTAGCCTGACCATGGCCTTTCTTTCTCCCTTGCAGGTGGACACTCTTTGCCTGGAGGATTTGCAGGCCTTTATTGCTCAGGCTTTGTGCCTCCAAGGAAAGCCAACTGCACAGCTCGTAAACTTACAGGTAGTGTCCCAGGGACAGCTCTCGGTGGCCAGAGGGCTGGGGTCTTCCAGTCTTGCTGCTGTTTCACAGTGAGGACCTGCAGGAGCTTTGGCCTGGAGTCTTGGTTCCCAGGCAGGGAGCTTCTCTGAGCCTTGGGAATCTCCAGGAATCAAGTGCTCTCCTGGCTCAGAGAGCACAGGTACTGAGGTGCCAGTGGATCCTTCACAAGTGTGCACGTTGTAGGGCTCGATAAAAAATGACCAATTTGCGGAAGATGTCTGTGGGCCACTGTGCTCCCGGTGTTGAGTGCTGTGAGCGTGTGGCTGTGGAGCTGCTGACGTGGTCTGTCTTCAGTAAAAAGAATCTGTTCATGTAATTGCTTTCCTAGAGCAGTGTGGTTTCTTTGTCAGACCCCATCCTGCAGTCAGCAGGAATTTGCCCGCTGGAGGCTGTCTCCGTTGTCGGCCCCAGGGCAGCCAAGGCCTGCTGGCCTGCTTCCTGTGCCATGCTGGCCTCGCCTTGAGGTGACCGTCACCTGAGACCTCCCCGGCACCAGGCTTCTGTTGCAGGGCGGAGTTCCAGAACTTAACAGTGTCACCCTCTCCCCTTAGCTGTGTGACCCTGTGCCTGTCGCTGTGTCCTGGGTGAAGAACGAGATGGGGAGGGGAGGACTCATGGGGTTGCAGCAATTCAGAGTCTCTCATGTTCCCTGCAGAGATGATCCTTTTGATACCCGTCAGGGCCTGTTTTCCAGAAGATGTTTTGCACGTGGCTTCTTCCTGGAGTCCTCTCCACACACCCACGTAGTGGGAGGGAGGTGGGAAGTGCGCACTCACAGCTCTGCTGCTGGACGAAAGGGTATCAGGGCCTGTCTGCTGCCCACGGCACTGTATGGCCTCCGTGTAGATGGGTGTCCGGGGCTACAGCCAGGCTCCTGCAGGGCTGTGACCAGCTGGGGCTCATCACACCCTGCAGTTCCGTGTCCATGCGGTGAAGGTGACCGGGGAGGAGGACAGTGGGTATCGGGCACGGCATGAAGTGCAGTGTTGCCGAGGAGGGGTCGCCTTAGGGCCCTCATCCTGACCCCAGGGTGGAGTGCAAGATGGGAGTGGAAGGTGGACATCATGCACCTGCACGTGCCCGAGCCTGGCCCGAAAACCCTCGAAGGGGAGATGTTCCCTTGCAAGTCGTCCTGAGACCATGCCCACCCCCAGTCAGAAGATGCTAGGAAAGTGTTTTGGTGTAGAGCCCACCAATTAAACCAGGACTTTAGGACCAGAAAATCCATTTATTTGTATTCTTTTGTTTACTAATAAAATCTAGTGTATTTCTAGTGTTCTCCTTGCTCTGTTGGCATTTCAGTTATGAGGACACTCCAGAATTTCATGGGTAATGGAATTGAAGATGTGAGTTTGTTCTGGTACAAAAATTTCTTTCATAATATGAGGAAAGTGCATATTAGGAAAACTGTGCATTGCTTCTTGGTCTTTTGGCTAAGATCAAGTGTGGAAAACTATGCATGATTTTAAAGTTGTTTTTGCACCAAAATAATCTCACATGTTTAATTCTGTTTTCTGTGACTTTTTTGAAACATACTCCTCCTAGGGCAGGTACCTGGGAAGCAGCGTCTGAGCCTTGGTGTAGAGCAGCCCTGTCCCCCATGAATGCCATTTTCTGTGGCATCCAGCAGACCCCATCAGGGCACCTCCGAGGCACTGAATACCAAACGCTGGGCTGCTTGCTGCTGAATGTCTCCCGTGAGGCGCTGGGAACCCAGGGCGCTTTCTGCTGCTTATCTGGCGAGAGGCCTCAGCCTCTCTCTGTCTCTTGCTCCAAAGCTCTGAAGCCCGCTTCCCACCACAGGCTGTCTCTGTTCACTGCCCTTGTTGAGATGGACAGCCACGGCCCTGGCCTGCAGCCACACTGATGGTGGCTTCCTGGTGACTCCGAGCTTGGATCGGAGCCAGCCCCTGCCACACTGGCGGTGCTCTCGGCATCCCATGAACTCCTGGCCTTCCCCAGGGAGGAAGGCGAGTTCCTGTCTGTGCTGGGGTCTGTCTCTCTCAGAGTCTCAGTTAGCTCATGTTAGGAGTGACCTGGAAGCTGATCTTGGCCACTGAGCTTTCTCAAGCCATCTGTTTCCAGGGGATCATCAAGGCCCTACAGCCATTCTTAACCCTGACATTGTAATCAGTATAAAATAAAGGCACTAGCAAACATGTCTGAGGAGCACTTTTAGAACAGATTCTGAGAAGTAGCAATTCTGGAGCCACTTACAATCTGTCTCCCAGACCTCCCGAGCCTAGGGGAACAGCGCAGCTGGGCTGCTGGCTGCCAGGGCAAGAACTGAGGTTCCCAGCCCCACAGCAGCACAGCTACGTGGCCCGTCAGCGTCTTCAGCCTCACCAAGGGTCAGGCAGAAGGGATCCATTTTCAGCAAACTGAATCAGTGCCTAGAAAAACCTGCTGGGGGTGGGGTGGGGGTGGGTGAAGCTGCTCAGGACTGCCACATTGCAGATCAGTGTGGGTGAGTTCCCATCCAGCTCCCGCCTAGGAGCCTGGGAAGCAGCAGGTGATGGGCTTGGGTCTCTGCCGCCCGTGTGGGAAACCCAGATGCAGTTCCTGGCTCCTGGCTTCAGCCTGGCTCAGCCTCAGCTGTTGGAGCCATCTGGGGAGTGAACCAATGGGTGGAAGATTGATCTCGTTCTCTTGTTCAAGTAAATAATAAATAAATCTAAGAAAAGCTTCTAGGACTAAAGTTTCACGGGGTCTCCGAGTCCCCCCAGCTGGGCGCGTGGCCTCTGAGTACAGTATTGCCCTTCCCAGACCCTACATTGGTGGCTTTGTCTGTTTAGCCTGTGATTCTGTGTTTCGTGATTTTTGAGTGGACAGATAAAGAGGTAAATTATTTGTAAACCATGAAATAGGAACAAGGCAAAGCCAGAGTGAGCCTGACAGAGACCAGCGTATTGATTTAGGAAGAGCAGGTGACTGACAGGGTCCTCCTTGGGCCAACCGGCACTTTGTCCTACGAAGATTACATTTCCCTTCGCTGCTTCTCTTGCATTCTTTACTGTCCTGGGTCTTGGGTTTTTAAAAAGCAGGTAACAGACCGCACAGGGCCAACAGAGCCTAGACTACTCCCTCTTGGTACTTTGCAGGAAGTGTTGTCCTGCTCCGGCAAACCCTCCCAGAGTTAACAGGGCAGGATCACTGTGCATTGGGATGTTGGAATGCTATCAACAAGCTCAACTGTTTGGCCGTAGGGAATGCTGCTCCCAGAAGCTCCAGGAAAACACTTCCCTTGCCTGCAGAAGAATTTCAAGACCTGATAGTCATCAGGCAGGCGTCAGCAGCTCTCATACTACCGGAATCGTCTGTTTTGTGACCACATGAAAAATCAGTGAGAAATTAGGAACAATAAAATGATATTTGAAGACTTAAGCAGTACACTTCTGAGTAACTCGGGTAAGAGGGAGATCGCAGTACAGGCTGTGAAACACTCGGAGTGGTGGTGCTCATACGACCTGTTAGAATTTGCAGCATGAGGATAAAAGCTGTTCTCAGAAGAAAACGTGCAAGTTAGCGAATGTATTTGACAAGAAGAAAGGCTAAGGGGTGGCCTGAGAATACATCTTTGCAGATGAGCCACTCAAACTGTAGAGGAAAGAGCAAGAACTAAGGAAACAGGAAACAAACCTGATCTTCGTGGGTGCTCTGGTTCATTCTGGTGTGGACATGGAGTGGTGCAGTCCTTTGGGAGACAAGTGGCTGTGCCTTACAAAACTGAACACGCTGTACCCAGGCACCTGGCAGCCACGCCCCTCAGCACCTGCCCAGAGCAGGTGCGAGAGCCATTGACGTCCCCCTGGTTGACAGTGAGCAAGAGGATCACAGATGGAGGAACCCTGCTTCAGCTCTGTCAGTGCCTGCTCATAGTGGAGATGTGAGCAAGGTGGGCCCGGCTGACACGAGGCTGACACAGTTTCTGTTAGGCTGGGGTCCTCTCGGTGGTGTGAGCTGCTTCCGTGAGACTCGGGGTCTGTGCCAGTGGTGTCAGGAGAAAAACACAAAGCCTCGCATTTGAAAGGAGAAACGAGACTGCTGTTAGGTGATGTGATTGTTCATGAGGCACACCCAGCAGTCTGCAGGCCAGCCTCACAGCTCATGTCACTGCAGGCACAGTCAACACAGAAAACAATGGAGGAATCCCCTACTTTTAAAGTTTACTTTAGGATCCAGCGCTGTGGTGCAGAGAGTTAAAGCCCCGACCTGCAGTGCCAGCATCCCATATGGGCACCAGTTCAAGTCCTGGTTGCTCCACTTCCAATCCAGCTTCCTGATAATGGCCTGGGAAAGCAGTGCGTAGTGGACCCTGCACAGCATGTCCTGGAGCCCTGGGAGGACTGAGTGTGCACACAGCATGGACCCAGGAAGATGCAGACAGATGCATCTGTAGGGTGAGAAGGTGGCGGGCAGAAGATTCGGCTGCTGATGGTATTGACTACACTGTGAGTCGCTGAATACTCAAGTGGTATTCGTGGGATTTCTGCCCTGAGAGGAGATGGTAAACTGCTTAAAGTTTACTTCAAAGTAGTCAAATGTAGAAGGGATGAAGAGAAACTGAATCCATTTCAGAGAGATCTGCCAAATCAGAGACCTACCCTGTCACTCAGAAACCACGTGACCTTGGCTGAACAGTCGCAGTCACATCCCAGGCTGGGCACTGGGGCTGGGTGAGGAGGGCAGGGTGTGGCTGAGTTTTCAGGAGAATCCTGGAGGAGGAAGATGAGGGTGTCCCAGACCAGAGCCGCCCTGTCTGCTGAGTGGGAATCGCGGTTCCCGAGTGCCAGGACAGGCACCCAGAAGCTGCCTATTTCATTGCACAAGGCCACTGGCTATCAGACAGCAGCTGCAGACAGCGCATGTGCAGGGGCAGGGGGGCAGGGCTTGACATGTGTTTTGTTTTTTTTTTTTTTTTTTTAAAGATTTATTTATTTGAGGGGCAGAGTTACAGAGGAAGAGGGAGAGAGCACAGAGAGCCAGGAGCTGCTTCTGTGTCTCCCACGTGGGTGCAGGGGCCCAAGCACTTGTGCTGTCTTTCGCTGCTCTCCCAGCCCGTTAGCAGGGAGCTGGACTGGAAGTGGAGCAGCCGGGACTTGAGCCGGCACTGATATGGGATGCCAGTGCTGTAGGCAGAGGCCCAACCTACTATGACAGTGCCAGTCCCCAGGGCTCTGCCAGTTGAAACTAGCAGATCACAGCGAGCTGCGCGAGGGGCAGATGTTCAGTCCACCTGGTGGTTCTTAGGGTACCCTTTAGCAGTGATGCTGTGCAGAAGCCCCTGAGATTAAACAGACTAGCTCTGGGACAAGTGAGCCCGCGGCTCCCTCCGCTTCAGTAAGCGAGCCTTACTCACGGCGGGTGGGGTGGGGTAGGGATGGGAGCACTGTGCGCTTTCCCGGCTGCTTTCAGCTTTGTGAACTCTGGCGCACGCGATGTTTAGAATGGCTCTGGGTCCATTTGAGCGATGTGGATACCCTAGACAGTGACTGAGGGGCACTGCCTCACCCACGGGCTCACTGGGCACTTGCATGGCCAGCGGCGGCCAGGAGCTACAGAGGCATGAGGGTGCTGGCAGGAGAAGCGGGTGCCCCGTGGTTTCCCACCTGGGCAGCTGCTGTTGGAGAAGAGTAGGCAGGTATGCCAGAGAAGTGTTTGGTACTGGTGTGCTGTGACTGACTGGTAAGTGCTATGAGAAGTATCTCACGTTGGTGCAGTGGTCTTAATTTGTAGGAACTGGAAGCAGCCTGTCAGCCTTCTTGAGAGCTTTAAGCCCTCGTGTTCCTGTCTGTAATCGTGGGTGTTCATCTCAGATTCCCTGTCTGAGGGCAGGGAACGGAGCAGTACCCTGAGTGGTTTTCTCCTTCCTCTCAGCCTGTACAGAGAGCTTTCCCTCAAGGAGCAAACGTGGAAGCCAGGGGTGTTGTGTGTGTTTCCCCGACGAGGCCACGGCTGGGATGGGTGCAGCCAGGGTGGGAGGCGGCAGACGCTGAGCTCGGCTCCTGTGTGAGGAGCAGGCCCAGTGGGTGCAACTGCTGCTCGCCAGGAGCCCCCACTGCCCCGGGCAGCCCTGCCCTTCAGGCCTCCTACCCCCAGCTGAGTGCGTGAAGCTCACGTGGGCGGAGACAGCGGGGTGGTGTGCTCTGGCCACCCACGTCTGACCCCATTCTCTGTGCCCTGTGTCTGCGCCCACAGCTTGATTACGTCAACCCTAGGGCTGTGCAGCTCGGCTCCCTCCTCGTCCGTGGCCTCACCACTCTGGCACTGGTCAACAGTGCGTGCGGCTTTCCCTGGAAGACCAGTGAGTTCATGCCCTGGAATGTATTTGATGGGAAGCTTTTTCATCAGAAATACCTGCACTCTGAGAAAGGACACGCCGTGGAGGTTCTTCTGGAGCAGAATGTGAGTTCCTGGAGCACGCTGAATCCTGGTCCCGGGTGGGATGCTGGGAAGATGAGCAGAGCCGTCTGTCCTGACGGCCACTCGCCGTAGACCAGGCTCAGCAGGGACATCCCCAGCCCCAGGCTTCACGGGGTTACAGACAGCTGCTCTCTAGTGGAGGATGGGAAACCAGGATGGTGTGAAGCATCAGACTTCAGTGTCTGCATGTTGAATACCTACTCCCCAAATTATTTTTTAAGATACATTTATCTGAAAGAGTGACACACAGAGGTCTTCCATCCACTGGTTCACTCCCCAAATGCCCGTAACAGCCAGGTCGATGCACGGCCAAAGCCAGGATCCAGGAATTTCATGCAGTCTCCCTCATGTGTGGTAGGGGCCCAAGCACTTGGGCCATCTTCTGCTGTCTTCCCAGTCTCATTAGCAGGGAGCTGGATTGGAAATGGAGCAGCCAGGATTCAGCCCTGTACTCCATTACGGGATGCTGGCATCGCCAGTGGCCGCTGAACCTCTGTTGCACCACAAGTCCAGCCTCTCAAATTCTTAAATAGGACCCAAGACCCCACGGTTCCACTCGGGGAGAGCAGGGAGCATCCCACCTGCCTGATGGTTTCTGATTTTCCTCCCCTTGAGTGAAGAACTGACGCTCCTGCAGGGATTCCACGGGCATCGTACTGACCCCACAGGAGCGGCCTGGACGCCCGACTTGAAAGTGTTCCCTAAGGCAGCTGCCGTCCCCGCTGCTCAAGTGTCGCCGCTGCACGATCCTTGGCAGTTTTTCAAGTTCCTCCTGCTGAGCTGGCCTGGAACGTGTTTTAATGAGCACGGGGATGTGCAGGGCAGTGAGGCCTGTCGAGACCCAGCACCCCACACTTTGCTGTCGGAGAGAAGACAGCTGGTGAGGTGTTCCCTGTTTATCCAAGACAGCGCTCCGTGGCACGTGGCCTGTGAGTGTGCAGAACTTAGAAGCTACCCAAATTACATGGAGACAGCAAAACAGAACAAGAGGAAAATACTCAGATTTGGGTATTGTTGTAGAGAGTGGAAGGCAGCTTGGTCTCCATGTGTCCACCGTGGTCTCCATTTCTCTCCATAGTTCACTTGACCAAGAAAGTACAGAGTGAATATGAGCTAAAGGAAAATTCCAGGCGTGGGAAAGGCTCCCTTCTGCCACCTGCTGCTGTCGTCTGTGGCCATGGCACTTGCACAGACTGTCGCTACAACTGACGCGGTGTCTGAGGGGCATTGATGTGCAGGCTTTTGTTGTTTTTTAGGTGAGACTGTGTGGTAGTTGCCTCAGTGAGACCTGGTCCTCTCAGGAAAGATTGTTGACTGCACAGAAGACACAGTGGCGGAGCTCTGTCAGAACCCCTTCTCCCGCACCGCCCTATGGCAGTGTCCGGCACTCTCTCACGAGCCTGTGCCTCTGGTCTGTTTGCAGAGGTCTCGGCTCACCAAGTTCCACAACCTGAAGGCCGTGGTTTGCAGGGCCTGCCTGAAGGAGAACAGACGCATCGTGGGCAGAGCGCACTGGGACTCACACCACACAGGTGGGCAGCGGCACCAGCAGCGTGTGCTGCTGGGTCCTCCACAGTGAGGCCTTCTCCCTGTGACTTGTGGTAAAATAATCCCAGAGGCTGATGGGATTGGAAGAAAAGAACACAGTGAAAATGGCAGGTGGTTTAAAGTCTCGTTCCCTGAGGAAAGCAGTTTCAGAAAGGTTCGGTCCCTAAAAGCCTCCTGCCCACAGTCCTGACATACAGGAGCTGCGTGGGGAGCGTGTGTGTTTGACGGGAGCTTGGGGTTGTTTTTTCGCATAATGAGAATGTGTTAGAAAAATCACGAAGGTAAAGAAAGTAGTTAAAATAGAAATGACCTTTGATTCAGTTGTCTGAAGACAACAGTGTGGGCACAGTCAGTGCTTTCTTCTACTGGTGCCTCACACTTGGCGCGCCTGTGCCCTGCTCTCCCACACAGCGCCGTCCTCAGGTCATATGACGAGACTTCTCAGGTGATGGCCAGAGTGTGTTTACCTGCACTCCCAGAGCTTTCAGCTCTGAAATTGTTTACCTTTTTCTCATTTGCATGCTGTAGTGTGCATGTTTCTTCAGATGGCGGGTCAAGGTGTCTGTAGAGCTAACAGGTCAGCATGTCCCTGACCACCTTCACCAGCACCCGCTGAGGGCCTTGGCATCCTTGGCGGCTTCCAAGTGCAAACTTTACTTTTTATTTCAAGTCAGAGATTTTCCATCTACTGGCTCTCTTACCAAACGCCCACGAAAGCTGGGGCTGAGCCAGGAACTCCATCCAGGTCTCCCCTGTGGGCAGGCCCAAGCGTTTGATCCATGCCCTGCTGCCTCCCAGGACGTGCATTCGCAGGAAGCTGGATTGGAAGCAGAACGGGGACCCGGTCCGAGGTACTTGAATATGGGATACAGGTGTCCCAAGCGGTGGCTTACCCTGCTGCACCCAGTACTTGCCACTTTTTTTTTTTATTAACTCTTTTTAAAATTTTTAACCAGTTTGATGAAAAATGAATCCCATTGATCCGTTACTTCACTGTCACCAGAACTGATGTCTCACTGGGTTATTTTGTTGAGATTCTTTCTTGACTGCTGTGGTGACAGTGACTGTGTGTTTCGGCAGTGTGACACGAGCGTGGCACCTCAGTGCACATGGATGACCCGTCCTCGTCAGTCAGGGCCTCTCCCTGCTCTGACTCCACTTTGTGATGGGTGCTGGGGCCTGCCATGGCTGTGCAGGACTGGGGACTTCTTCCAGCTGGCTCTGACTTGACTCCCAGCATCCACACTCCCTGTGTCCCCTCACCCCTCCCAGCTTCTGGTGATCAGCATTCTGGGTACAGCTTGAGGCAGGTTTATTTTTGGGGGGTTAAGCTTCCCCATGTAAGAGAGAGAGAACATGCAATATTTTTCTTTCCATGTCATCTTATTTCTCACAACATGATGCTGCAAATGACAGGATTTCATTCCTTCCTCTGGCTGGAGAGGATGCCATTGTGTGTGCACCACCCTTCCTCTCCACTCATCTGATGGGAGTCACCTTGGTTGATTGCATATCTTGCCATTGTGAACAGTGCTGGAATGATCATGGTGGAGCAGGTATCTCTGATATAGGGAGTTCTAGTTTTTTAAGAAATCTCCACACTGTTTCGCACAGCGGCCACGTTAGTTCACATTCCCATCACACGTGTTGATTCTCACAGCGTTCCTTATGCTAGCCGTTCTGACAGGATGAAGAGATGTCTCCTTGTGGTTTTGATTTGCGTTTCCCTAATGACTAGAGACATTGAGCATTTTTTCGTATATTTGTTGGCCATTTGAATTTCTACTTTTGAGAACTGTTCAGGTCCTTTGTCCATTTCTAAACTATAGTGTTGGTTGTGGTTGAGTGTTTGAAGTTCCTGACCTATCTGCACATTAGTCCTGTGTGAGATACGTAGTTTCTTTTCATGATTTTTGGAGTGCTTTTCTGCTTAGTGTCTGTACCTATAATCGCAGCAGTCTCACTCTTCTTCTGGATTGCAATATGAGAACTCACCCCAGACTCCCACCACCTACCCAGACTTCCTTGAGGAGTCTCGGTGGCCTTGCAAGTGTCACCCTCGGAGGCCGGGAGGCCGTTGTGCCTGGACCCGATGACAGGATGGTGTCACTCGCCCCAGCCCCCAGCCCTTCTTCCATATTTCAGCTTCTGTAGACTGCAGACAAAGTTGGAGATACCAAAGCAAAAGTTGAATCTCTGCGAAATACTGTGTGACAGTCTTCCTGCTCTGCCTATCCTGGCATTGGTGTCAGCTGGCACTCAGGCACCCAGGGCTGTTGGCTCCCAGTTCTGGTTAAGGTTGTGAGTTTATGATGGCAGTTGTCCTGGGCTTTGCATGGCCCTGCTCCTTTTCACGCCGTGTTTGCATGTGTCTCCTGCGTTGTGGGGGCTCCAGTGTTGACTCTGTTGTTGGCTGTCCAGTCGGTCGCACAGCAAAGCTGAGCTGTTCTCAACGTGTTCACAGCTAGGATGAGGCTGACAGTCACAGACTCAGCACCACTCACAACATGGAGTCGCCAGTATAGGGTGCTGGGCACCGGCTCCAGGAGACCCCCGGAGCCAGCAGTGGGCCAGGCGTCATTTCTCTGCTCAGCAGGGTCACATGTTGGGGGCTGGATTGTGACTCTCCAGATAGGACAAGGGTTGGAGACAGCAGACAGGCATTGGGCTGGGAGATTGTTGAGTTCCAGGCTCTGGCCTGGCTTTTTACCCACTGCACTCCAGGAAGCTCTTGAAGGTGTTGGAGCAACATAGTGAGCACAAAGCTTTAGGACAGCGGAGGCTGCACAGGGGCCCAGAAGGGGCCCAGCCCTGGGTGCTGGCCCTGGGTCACCCCCTTCTCTCTGCATCACAAACGCTGTGCCGCACGCTGTCCTCCCCTCCATGTGTTGTGTGCGCATGGAGCTGTGCTTGAGCCGAGAAAGAAGATGTCTGAATCAGGCCTCCCAGCCCAGCTCAGCAGTGCAGACACCAGCTCGAGGAGCACACGCAGTGTCTAAACCACAGAGAGCGTGGGTTGGTGCAGGCGTGGAGACGGGGGAGAAGAGAGCCTCTGAGTGGCTCAGGGATTATCCCAGTGGGTGGTTGGGTCATGGTGGCAGTGGTGTGGGCCAGCCCCTCCCCTGGCAGACAGAGCAGCTTCCTGGTCCTGCAAGCCTCGCTGCTGGGTCTCTCACCCCAGTCAGGTTCCCTCGTGCTCCCCGTTGCCGAGCCTGGCTCCCGGGCACTGCAGCTGTTTGGTCCCCAGTGCACTGGAGGCTCAAGAGCTGCTGGCCTGGCCTCACTGTCAGACCCCATGTGTTCAGGAGGAGCCATGGGGCCCATTGACACCCTGATTCTGTGTGTCCACAGGGAGATGGGGAAGACAGGGTTCCAGCTCCCACAGGACAAGCTCTGGCTACAGCCGCTCTGGGCAGGGACAGCCATGGAGGGACCAGGGACCAGGTAAGAGGCCAGTGGTGTCATTGTGTGCTTTCTGTTTTCCATGACCTGGGCGCTGTGGAAGAGGCTGACAGTGTGCCCTCCTCGCTGTGTGTTTCACATGTCTGCATTCAAGCCTGTACTGTGTAGCTGTGCGTTTGACCAGCACAGTGCGTGTCACAGCCGTAAACTCAAGACTCCCTGATGAGTTTGAGTTCCCAGCTTTGAAACAACCTAAAATTTGTAATTTTATCCTCTTAGTTGTCAAAGGTTACTTATTTGTAAGGCAGAATGACAGAAAGAGGGAGAGAGATCTTCCGTCTGCTGCTTCACTCCCCAAATGGCCACAGGAGCCAGATCCGAGCCAAGCCACAGCCAAGAAGAGCCAGGAACTCCTTGCTGCTGTGCTGCGTGGTGCAGGGCCCCAAGCACGTGGGCCTCATCTGCTGCTTTCCCAGGCACATTGGCAGGAGGCTGGATCAGAAGCAGAGCAGCCGGGACTCCAGCTGGTGCTCTGATTTGGGATGCTGGCGTCAAGTGGCAGCTTAACCTGCTGCACCGCAACACTAGGCCCTGGGGTTTTTTAAGTTTTGCAGCCTCTTAACTGTGCCACAGGGACTCCCGAATTGCTCAGATTGCTACCAGATGTTTCCCCAGGCGGTGGCTGTGGGTCTTTCTGGGCAGCTGCTGCAGGTGGCCTGTGACGCCCCAGGGCCGTGAGCAGTGCCCCTCTCTGGTACTCCTAAATCAGCAGGAGCAGCACAGGTCAGGCGCAGTTCAGTGCAGACCAAGGCGCCTGCTTAATGCCCTCAACGTGCCTGTCCCTGGGAGAGAGCAGCTGCAGGCTTTTAGGTTAAATGGGCTCTGGTGCCTCCCCAGGGGCCTGCAGGAGCTCCACCCACCAGATCGCACCCCCAGGCTGACCCCAAGATTCCCAGCTGGCCTGGAGACCTGCCCGGTCACCTTCTTCCCATCTTGAGAGTGAGCAGAGAGACCATGTCCACTCAGTGCCCACCAGATCATCAGAAGAGCCACGTGTGTGCAAGGTCAGAGACCCCATGAGTGAGTGGAGACTGCTGTCAGTTTACAGGATTCTCCAGACAGGGACTGAGCCGCAGTGGGAACCCGGAAGTGCTGGGGGTTTGTGACTTGCCCAGAACCCAGGGTGAAACCCATGCCCCCACCCTCCCATGGTGGAGTCGTTGCCGCTGCCCCTGCGAGCACCCTGCTGCCCTTCTCATGGCCAAGAGCCTGCTCCACATCTGCCACTGTCACCCTGGGTGTGCGGTGGACAGAGCGTGAGGCCTGCAACCATGGGCAGGTCTTCTCCCCGGGGGCGTGTGAGCAGGAAACTCCAGGAAGTCAAGGGCAGCAGCACTTCCTCAGAGGGATTCGGGAGGCCAGTTCCAGGGCAGCAGCGCGAGGAGAGGTGCACTTAAGCTAAACAGGCAAGGCCTCTTTCTCTCCTTCCCCCTCCCCTTGAATAAAGGGCTGAGCAGACTTCCCCAGTAAGGTGACATTTAAGACAAGGCTTAATGAGGGTGCGGATGCAGCCACCACACGTCTCTTGGGGTCTTGCGGCAGAGGGAATAGGGACCCAGGTGGGCTTCACAGTGGGAAGCAGATGTGGGACTGGGCTGGTTCTGAACAAGACACCAGCAGAAATGAGCCTTTGGGCATGGGCTCTCCATGCCAGCTGCCACCAGACCTTCCCCAGGAAGCTGGCCGTGACCTGGTACCTGGGCTGTTGGAAATGCAAGGTAATGGCTGAGGAGGGCCCCACCCCTTCAACCACATGTCCCACACTAGGAGCTGAGTGGCCTGGATCCTCAGTGCTAGAGCACCCTTGATGAGATGAAGAGGGTAGCACCCTAGGTTAGGACCCCTTTAGCTGAGGTCGCCAAGGGCTGAGGGAGGCTGCTGGCCGCTCACGGGAACCATAGTGTCTCCTCCAGAACCTCATGAGGCAGGAAGGGGCCTTCCACTTGCCCTTTTTGGCTTAGGATTGGCCCCTTTCCTCTCCCTGGGTACAGAGAATGGAGGCTGCAGGTGACCGCTGGACCGTGAGATCACAGTGAGTCTGTGAGGAGCTGTCAGCCAGGCACGTGGGAACTGCAGGTTGTGCATCCAGGTCTTGGGCCAGGAGCATGACAGCAACACACGACGAAACGTTGTGCACCCAGGTACTTAGTGCTGACAGCTGCTCCAGGAGACCTTGGATTAAAGTCAAATGGAGCTGCTAAGAACAGGGGCCAGCGTTGTAGTGTAGTGGGTAAACCCACCGCCTGCACTCCATATGGGTGATGGTTTGATTTCTGGCTGCTCTGCTTCCATTCCAGCTTCCTGCTAATGCACCTGGAAGAGCAAAAGAAAATGTCCCAAATGTAACCCTGCCACCAACGTGGGAGACCCAGATGAAGCTCCTGGCTCCTGGCTTTGGCCTGGCCCAGCCCCAGCTGTTTCGGCTGTTTAGGGAGTGAGGCTGCCGGACAGAAGCTCTCTGTTTCTGCTCTCTGTAACTCAGCCTTTCCGATAAATAAACAAATCTTTTTTTAAAAAAAATCATGAACAGGGATGGGAGAGACTGAGTAGTGGCAAGGGTAGGATGCTGCATTGTGTTCTGCCTCCCACGGAGCCTCTCACGGGGCCTCCCACGTGAGCCCGTCTGTGGGACTGGGGCGTGCTCCTGCTGATCACCTCCTCCCCCTGCAGTTCTAATCATTGGGGCTGACTTTGGAACCAGTGTATTTTTTGTTGCATTTGCCTATTTGAAACTCATCCATTTTGGTATTTTTTAATTTTTTATTTATTTTTGTTTGTTTCAAAGGCAGAGAGACAGATACAAAGGGATTTCCCATCCACTGATTGACTGGCCCCACCCCCAGAAATGCTCCCAAAACCAGGGCTGGGCCAGGCACAAGCAAGGACCCCAGAATTTCATCTGGGTCTCCTGTGTGGGTGGCAGGGGCTCAAGCACCTGAGCCATCATCTGCTGCCTCACCAGGCGCAGAAAACTGGACCAGAGGCAGAGTGGCCGGAACTCCAACCAGACACTGACAGCGAACGTGGGCATCCAAGCTCTGACTTAACCACTGTGCCAATGCCTGTATCTCTTCTGGTGTTTTTTGGTGACGTTAAAGTAGTCCAAATAATGGGACTGGTGCTGTGGTACAGTGGGTTAAAGACCTGGCCTGAAGCGCCAGCATCCATTATGGGTGCCATTTCTAGTCCTGGCTGCTCCACTTCTGATGCAGCTCTCTGCTATGGCCTGGGAAAGCAGTAGAAGATGGCCCAAGTCCTTGGGCCCCTGTACCTACATGGGAGACCCAGAAGAGGCTCCTGGCTCCAGGCTTCAGATCGGCACAGCTCCGGCTGTTGCAGCCATCTGGGGAGTGGACCAGTGGATGGAGGACCTCTCTGTCTCTACCTCTCTCTGTAACTCTCTTTCAAATAAATAAAATAAATCTTTAAAAAAAAAAAAAGTCCAAATAAAAAGTGGCCTTTCTTTTCACCACAGAGTCAATAGACTTCTCTATGTAAGAAAAACTAAAATGCCTCATAATGAAAGTAACCAGTTACTGCCAAAAAGTTGGCAAGCATTTTCCAGAGCCGGAAGCTGGCTTGGTGGGTGTGGGCCATGCAGGGAGCCACGTGTCAGGGTCACAGCAGGGAAGGCCTGCATCCTGGGCTGGTGGAGCTGCGGGGCCCTCTCCCGCTGTTGGTGAGTGCTGCCACGGAGAAGGGTGTGTTAAAGGCCGCGGCCTGTGGCTGCACGTCTGCCCTGCTGCTCGCGTCGCACTCTGGTGATTCTGTAGGCGACCTGAGCTCTGCTGAGCTGCCTTTGCCGATCTGAGATGACAAGGCGGCCATCAGCCCATGCAAGTGCCTTGAGCCCTCACCTCCAAGAAGCTAAGGGGCCGCAGCAGGAGAGGCACAGGGGTCGGCAAGTTCAAGGCCGCTGCTTCTGCCGAAAGAAAGCAAAGAGCAGGGAAACGTTTGTGGAGAAGCTCCTTTTTAAGATGTGAAGCACAGTCCCTGGTCACTTTGCTTCCCAGTGGGTGGTTCTGCTCTGGGCCTCTTCACGGCAGTCCCTGTCTGTCAGACAGGCAAAGCGTGGCCAGCGGCACCCGGGCGGAGAGAGGGGAACTCTGGGCTCCACTTTCCCTGCACTTGGCAGGACGTCCCCTGTGAACCATCTGCGTGTGAACTTTCATTTCCAAAGTCTTCAGAGGTGCTGTTGAGATGCCACGCAGATGGTTGGAGCTGGTGTGGGAGGAACAGTTTTGAAACTATTTCCTTCACTAATGGTACTGCCTCTTAATTAATTGCTTCCATGTTAATGGAATAATTAAAGAACAGCATTTTTGCGGCAGGTGGCCACAACTGAAAGGAGGCTGCAGCTGTGTCCCGAGTGACTCGTGTGTCTGCACGTTCTTAGAAAGGTGCAGTGTCCGTCTGAGTGTTGAGGGGGTGCATCCTCAGTTTGCGTCTCTTTTGGTGCAGGAAGCAGACAGCATGAGCATGACCAGTGGAGAAGATACTAGGCAGTCTTACAAGGTAAGTCCATCACCTGCATCTCCGGCAGGAAGTAGAATGTCCACTTGTGTCAGAAACCACTCCTCCGGGTGCGGCGTCAGGCCCTGTGGACCTGGTGCCAAGCTCAGGTGGCTTCAAGACAAGTTTGCTTTCGCCAGAGCAGCCAGGAGTGGTCACCTGGCAGCGAGCCTGCCCGCGTGGTGTCGGCCAGGACAGCCGGCCTCACCTGCCAGCAGCTGTCTGGATCAGAAAAGAAAACTGCCTCTCCCGGGAGCGAGCCCTGTGTCTTGTAGGAAAGCTTTGGTTGGCGCCGCCTCAGGGGCCGTCCCAGACGACGCTGTTAACATCTTCACCCTGACGTCCATGTTATGAGGCAGAGTTGATGTTTGCTTTTAATAAATTGGAAACAAACGGTCCTGTTTCTTTTTACTGTTCAGTGGATTGCGAGGGTGTCTCTCACATCCTCAAGTCGTCTGAACACAAATGTTTCCGAAATTGTCTTCCAGTTAGAAATCCCGATCACAAGTCAGGTCTCCAGCCGTCTCTTCTCTCGGCTGCCAGAAGTTCTTCAAGAGAAGTCACGATAGCCCCGGGCCTTCCTGTGGGACGGCTGATTGTGCCTGGAGCCAGCACCTCGCACGGCTCTGGGGCCTGGGCTGCCCGAGCAGGACGCAGAGAGCCTGGGAGGAGCCCTGTGGGGAAGGCAGCCGCCGAGCAGCCAGCCGTGGTGTGTTTGCTGCTTCTGCGTGTGAGCGATGAAGGGCGTTTGTTTTCCAGACACACTGGAGTAATCCTTTTCATGGAGAAACTTTCAGACAATCCAGGAATTGAAATTTTAATCCCAAGTTTTCCTGAACTCTGTGGAAAAAGGAAATGGCCAGGATATTGATCATGGAAGGGTTTGTGGGTTAGGAGTAAAACGCAGGCCTTGCTCAACCTGGGTGGGCTGTCACACCGGTTCCCGGGCTGCTTGGTTCTGTAGGAAACGCTCACTCCTTCAGGCTGTTGCTGACAATAAGCCCCTGGCTGCATTATAGACCAGCTGTGTGTCACACTCAATGAGTTACGGTGTGCACACAGCTATGTCTGGCATTGGTCTCCACGTGTAGGTTGAAATACCCTAACCACTGCCTTCAGCTCCTTTTTTTTTTTTTTAAAGTTTATTTTTATTTATTTGAAAGAGTAACAGAGAGATATCTTCCATCTGCTGCTTTACTCCCCAAATGTCCTCCATTGGGGCTGGGGCATTCTAAAGCCAGGAGTCCAAACTCCTTCCAGATTTCCCATGTGGATGGTGGAGACCCAATTACTTGAGCTATCACTACTGCCTCCCAGGGCGTACGTTAACAGGAAGTGGAGCCAGAACTGGACCCAAGCACTGGGTGTGGGCTGCAGATGTCCCTTCTGTGACTGAGCCCCTGTGCCACCCTCGTCAGCTCCTCCGGGGCTCTGCCTGTCTGATTCTTTATGCACATACTTGCAGGACCTGACTCTGGAAACAGTGTTCCCACTCTCAAGTGTGCACCTCCTCTCCCTTTCCACTTCTGCACCCTTTGAAATCACTGCTGCTTCTAGCAGTTCTGTTTCTTTGCTACTTATTTGTTTAACTTTTTAGTAAATTCCTCATCCCTTAGACAAGGGTTGGGGAACATCCAGCCTGGCCTGCAAAATCTTTTGGCCTGGCCCTGCCAAGGCAACCACAGGTAGGACTCAAAATTCAATAAATCTATAGCAAGTTAAGTTTTAAGTAGATAATTTTGTATGGATCACAAATTGTGCTATAAATATTCAAATGGCCCTTGGCAAAAAAAAAAAAAAAAGATCCCCACTCTTAAGATTGAAAGTAGATGTCTTTGAAAATTGTGTTTGCCTTTCATAATATCTAAATGCTAATATGTTAATGAAATTGTTCAGTTTGATTAACCAGCCTAAGGAGCCATTGTACCATCAGTGGTGGTGCAATTTCCCACTTCTTTAATTATTTGGAAGACATTTCAAAATCCAGTATGTTGGGATCTTTTTGAGTCAAGAGAAGGGGCGAAGGGTGGCGGGGGGTGGGGGGGGGCAGTGCACAGTGTGTGCTTTCACACAGAGCAGGAGGATCCAGTGTGTCAGCCCACTGAGGCTGGGGTGACACAAAGATACAGAAAATTTGTCTTCTTCCAATATTCTATTAGCCAGAGCTCCTGACTGGCTACATAGATAGTTTGTAGGATTTGAACTGCCTACTTGTGCAAATTGATAGAATTACTGTTTCAAAAGATATATATTTAAAATTTTGGTTGATGTTGCCAAATAACTGTCCCCAGTAGAGGCACTATTTCATCTGGCCAGCTGTAGTCAAAAAGGTGTATTTCATTGGTTTGTGTTTTTTTGAATGTTAGTGGGGATTTCCCACCATTCATTTGTTGGCCATTTGTGTTCTTTGGGCAACTTTTCATATTCCTGGCCACGTGTTTCCTGGACAACATGTGAGGTCCCTTCCAGTAGTGTAGGTGCTAACCTTTGGTGATCTCGAATGTGGCGAATCGTCATCACGTGCAGACGCGGGTGTTCTGACATCCCGGTATCCTGCGCCCTGGGATTCGTCAGGAAGGGGTGGTCCAGGCCTCACCCAGCTTCCTTTCACTGAGGCTGCCAGTGGATTGGCCCTCAACAGCCAGTGCTTGCTGTGCCCTTCCCCGTGACCTCTGACCTTCCCGTGTCCTCACCGTCCCAGTTGCCATGGCCTCGTCAGGTTACTGCAGACATGGTGGTGTGCAGCCTCTGTGGGACACAGGCACAGCTGGTCCCTACTCCAGCACATCCGGACCTTGGCCAGGGAATCTGCAGTCCCAGGAAGCCACACATACACACACACACCTGATGCTGATACTCCTTGCACCCACTGATTTGCTCTCTTTTTGATTGTGGGGTAAAGCCGCACACCAAGATCAAGCCCACCCGTCTGTTGGGGAGTGGGGAGTGTGGCTCGAGAACCTGTTGTCCTCACCAGTGCCATCCCACACTCAGTCCTGTCCCCAGTTACTCTTCATGGTCTCCTGCTGGACCCCGCCTGCTCATCTCCAGCGCTTCTTATCCTCAACCACAGATGGCTTTGCTTTCTGTGGGTCCTCACAGCCACTTCAGCGCCTCCTTCAAGCCTCTGTCAACATCGATCAGAATTCTCAAGCAGAGTACCAGGAGAAAGAGTCCACAGTGAGAGAGGACGTGTCCACTTCTTTCCTATCACATCCGTCCCTCCACCTCGGACTCAGCCCCTCAGGGCCCCTCCTCCTGAGTCATCAGCTGAGTCTTCCCCACAAGGGCCTTCCCTGACCCACGTCACGCTCGAGCAGGCGCATCATCTCTCCTTTAAGCAAAATAGTGTAGAGTCCAGGAGCCTCTACTCAACCAAGTTAGCATTCTGCACTAAGAGAGAGAGCTTGCACATTTTCAGAAAACTAACTACTGATCTTTGAGGAAATCAGTGGGCAGATGAGCACCTCTTCCATCAGTGCCTGGACTGCTGCAGGCAACATTGAGCGGAGGAGTCCGTGAGATAGCAGTTATTGCCAGGTATTCCTAGCTGCAACAGCGAACAAATAAAAATAGTTGGAGTCTAAAATCTGAAGGAAAATTACAAGGAAAGTGGTGAACATTTCTGGCCCATGAAAAAAACAAAAGGGCATATGAAATTTCTTGTCTATAAAAGACAACATTTCTATTAAATCTGAATGTTTTTATGAAAATGTATACTGTGGGGGCTGGCTCTGTGCTGTAGCGGGTAAAGCCACTGCCTGCAGTGCCAGCATCCCATATGGGCACCAGTTTGCCGGCTGCTCCACTTCCAATCCAGCTCTCTGCCATGGCCTGGGAAAGTAGTGGAAGATGGCCCAAGTCCTTGGGCCGCTCCATCCACATGGGAAGACCTAGAGGAAGCTCCTGGCTCCTGGCTTCAGATCAGCTCAGCTCCGGCTGTTGTGGCCAGTTGGAGAGTGAACAAGCAGTTGGAAGACCTCTCTCTGCCTTTCCTTCTCTTCTCTGTGTAACTTTTTCAAATAAATAACTTTTTAAAAAAGAAAAAGAAAACATATAATGTTTGCTAAAAGGCTATGTATTAGAAGAAGAAAAGGTAAAAACAAAAGTCTAAAACATAAGAATATTATACCCCTGGTATCAGAAGTCAAAGTAAGCAAAATGTACAGAGAAACAGAATAATTAACGTACATAGCTCTCAGAAATTGACCAAGTGGGGCTGGCACTGTGGCAGACCAGGTTAAGCTGCCACCTGCAGTGCTGGCATCCCATATGGGTGCTGGTTTCAGACCCAGTTGCTCCATTTCTGATCCAGCTCCCTTCTACTGCACGTGGGAAAGCAGTGGAAGACGGCCCAAGTGCTTGGGCCCCTGCACCCATGTGGAAGACCCAGAAGAAGCTCCTAGCTTTGGATCTGCCTAGCTCCAGCTGTTGGCCATTTGGGGAGTGAGCCCGTGGATGGAAGACCTCTCTGTCTCCCTCTCTAACTCTATCTTTCTTTTTTTTTTTTTTTTTTTTTTTTTTTTTTTGACAGGCAGAGTGGACAGTGAGAGAGAGAGACAGAGAGAGAAAGGTCTTCCTTTGCCGCTGGTTCACCCTCCAATGGCCGCCGCTGCAGCCGGCGCACCGCGCTGATCCTGGCAGGAGCCAGGAGCCAGGTGCTTTTCCTGGTCTCCCATGGGGTGCAGGGCCCAAGCACCTGGGCCATCCTCCACTGCACTCCCTGGCCATAGCAGAGAGCTGGCCTGGAAGAGGGGCAACCGGGACAGAATCCGGCGCCCCAACCGGGACTAGAACCCGGTGTGCCGGCGCCGCAAGGTGGAGGATTAGCCTATTGAGCCACGGCGCCGGCTTTCTAACTCTATCTTTCAAATAAATTTTTTTTCTAATATTCTACTATATCTTTTTTTTAAGGTTTATTTACTTATTTGAAAGAGTTACAGAGAGGCAGAGAGAGAGAAGTATTCCATCCTCTGGTTCCCTCCCCAGATGGCCCCAATGGCTGGAGCTATGCAGATCAGGAGCCAGGAGCTTCTTCCAGGTCTCCCATGTGGTTGCAAAGGCCCAAGGACTTGGGCCATCTTCTGCTGCTTTCCCAGGCCACAATAGAGAGCTGGATTGGAAATGGAGTAGCCAGGACTCGAACTGGCGCCTTTATGGGATGCCGGCACTGCAGGTGGTGATTTTACCTGCTACACCACAGTGCGTACCCCAATAAATAAATTTTTAAAAAATTCATGAAGGGAGGGTGGTGAACCAGGAAGCCACCCAGTTCCCTCCAGCCCGTGGCAGACAACTGCACAGCTTCTTGGAGCAGCTTTCTGGAGCCAGAAGGGGCAGTACGGACATCATCCTCCAAAGAGGGGGCCTCAGTGTTATGGCTTTTGAGGTGTAGGCACAGAGCTGGCCACAGCTGTTTCAACCCCCTCTTGGCTAAAGTGGCTTCCATAGGATCTAAAGGAGCAACAACCATGCTGTTTTTGTTTTTTGCTATTTGGGGTGCCAGACAGACATTTAAGGATTTGGACATTCACAAATAACCATGCTTAAGGGGAGATTTAGAAAGCTGCTGTGGCGACTAGGAAAAGAAGCTCAGACGAGAGCTGAGGAGACCTTGAACTTTCTCCTCAGGCTGGTCCCAAGCACTGAAGCAGCCTGAAGCAATTTGACTTCCAGAGATGCAGAGATTCATCAACAACAAAATCATAAGATGTACAAGGAAACACAAAAATGCAGCACAAAGTAAACAGACAAAAATTGTTCCTAAAGAAGCTCATCTGTCAGACTTACTGGGCAAGGCTTTACAGAACTGTCTTAAAAATGCCCAAGCTAAAGGGAGAGATGGACAAAGTCCACTAAAAAAACGAGTAGACAAAATGAGAATATCAATAAAGAGACATTTTAAAAGGGAACCAAAAAGATTCTAGATCTGAAAAGTGTAGTAACTGAAATGAAAAATCTAGAAGAGTTCAAAAGCATATATATATGTGTGTGTGTGTGTGTGTGTCTGTGTGTGTGTATATATAATATATTATTTATTTGAACGTTACTAGGACAGGGAGAGACAGGAAGAGATCTTGCATCTGCTGGTTGTTCACTCCCCCAGATGGCTGCAAGAATGAGGGCTGGGCCAGGCTGAAGCCAGGGGCCAGGAGCTTTAGCCTGTTCTCCCAAGCACTTGAGTCATCTTCCACTGACTTTCTCAGGCCATCAGCAGGGAGCGGGATCAGAAGTGGAGCAGCCAAGCCACGCTCTAGCGCCCGTCTGGGGTGCTGGCATCTAAGGCAGCAGCTTTACCTGCCACACCACAACGCCTGTCCCTCAAAAGCAGATTTGAACAATCAGTGAACTTGAAGATGAGACAATAAGTTATCACAGCTTTTAAAGATTAAAAAATGAAAAATGAACAGAGCTCAAGGAACCTATGGACACTGTCAAGAGAACTAATGTACACATTGTGGGCATCAGAAGAGGAAGGGGGGGGGGCAGAAAAATACTCAAAGAAATAACTGACATTTTCCCAAATTTGATAAAAGCACACGAGTCTACAACCCAATAAACTCAACCAATTCTAGGATACATTTGGAGAGAGACATACATTATGGACTATGAAAGAAAGTAGCAAATGAGAAGTATCATCAGTGAACAAGGGACTTTGAATAGGATTGTCACTGATTTCTTATCAGAAACCTTGGAGGACAGAAGGCAACAGGTTGATAGACTCAGAATACGAAAAAACTCAACTGAGAACCCAATGTCTGGCAAGACTGTCCTTCAGACATGAAGGAGAAGTTAAGACTCCCAGCTAAACAATGCAAAGGGAATCCATTGCCCCCAAATTTGTCTGCAAGAAGTGCTGGAGGGGAAAGCCAGTGGTCCTGTGCCAGGGCCAGGGAGGCGTCTGCAGAGAGAAGGGCCACAGTGACGCCCGTGAAGTGGGTGGGGAGACCACATGGTGGTGACCAGCCCTAAACTGTGTTCTTGGGTTTCAGCAGTCAGATGACGGTGATGGCCACCATGCAGGGACCCCGCAACTGATTCTAGAATTAGCACATAATTAACTAGAAAACAGAATGCAATTCTCCCAACAGTCTTAACATCTCCTACAAATGCACAAATCAGTCGCCACACACACACATCCAGGGCCCCCTGCAATTGGTCAGCTGAGGTCAGCAGCTCGCCCTCACAGTGCTGGACAGCATGGGAGCTGCTGGCATCTGTCGCCCACCTCTGAGCCCTGCTGGAGGAGAGACGGCCCTTTCAACTCGAAAAAAGCGTTTTAAAACTGGGACATCGAGCCTACAGCAGTACACCATGCTCTTTCTGCACTCAGAACACACGGCAGACGTGATACTTGGGACTGGGACCTGGTCCTGCACTGGCCGGCACCCGTACAGGCCCTGAGAACTCTATGCCTAATTAGTGCCTGCGAGAGCCAAGGCACCTTCCCACCAGGTGTGTGCATGAGTAGACGGAACAGAGCAGCCTTTTAGAAGGAGCTGTGTCTCCATTTCTTTGTGATTTCACTGGGGAAGCTGAAGCAAGAAGGTGCAGAGGAAGGGCCTGGGACCCAGGGAGAGATGTGGCATGGGGCACCCCAACCGTGAGAGCAGCCATTTCACTTGAGGGGCCGAGAAAACACAACCATGCTCTTAGTAAACCACATGACAGAACCCAGGCAAGGGGTCAGCCCCAGAAAGGCCAGGCGCGCTCTAGCCTCTGGCTTCCTGCTCCCTAATTTCACTGCCTGGGTCCCCACCTTGCAGGACACAGTACAGCAGAGGTGAAACTGCCCAGCCGACCTGTGCATGTTGTATCAGGTGGCGTGAGGCGTGCTGTCCCTTGCTTGACCCCTGAAGCTGTGATAAGTTAGGGAAAGCTGATGATTCTGTTGAATCCAATACTTCTAGCCATAGCCCCTAACGTAGGGTTCGAATCAGCTGAAAGTCTGCTGGGGGCAAGGAGAGGCTGAGACGGTGTGAGCCCCTGTGGGCCACTCCTGCAGGACACCAGGGGCACCGAGTCTGTGGCCGAAGGGTGAGAGCTGAGCGTCCTCCGCGTCCAGGGGCAGGGGCAGCTGCCTATCTAGGGTTTTCGGATGCTGGCGTTTCTGCCTGCTTCCTTTGCTCGTTACAGGCTTTACTCTGCCCCTAACAAGTTGTTCCCCTCCCAACTTGAAGCTGGATTTATCCTGGGAAGAAGTTGAGGACCCCTCTCCTGTTAAGTTGGGTAAGCAGTTGCAGCGATCAATGAACCATGGCCCTCCCCAGGTGATCATGAACAATTTAGAGGTAGAAGTTAATCCATTTCGTTTATTTAAGAGAAGAAGAAATCTCCGTCCTGTTTCCCTCCGCAGAGGATTCAACCGCCAGGGCTGGGCCAGACCGAAGCCTGGAACTCCACCCAGGTCTCCCAAGCACTTGAGCCCACACACGCCCAGGATGTGCTTGCCGGGAAGCTGGGGTAGGGAGCAGAAGCAGCACTGAAACCAGGTACTCTGCTGTGGGATGTGGCATCTTAGCCCCCAGCAGCCACCCCAAAGATAGCGATTAGAGCACAGAACACATGGCTTTGCACCCAGTGCAGCTTGCCCCAGGGAGTAGATTCATCTTGCTGTCTCAGACCCTTTTCCAGTTACAACGTACTGATGACTCCAGACTCACTGCACTGAACGTTTTTGAAAATATTTATTAATTTATTTGAAAGGTCGAGTTAGAGAAGGAGCAATGGAGAAAGAGAATCTTCCATATGCAGGTTGACTTCTCAGTTGACTGCAATGACCAGGGCTAGGCCAGGGTGAAGCCAGGAGCCAGGAGTTTCATTTGGGTCTCCCACTTGGGTACAGGAGCTCAGGGATCTGGGCCATCTTCCACTGCTTTCCCAGGCACATTAGCAGCGAGCTGGATTGGAAGTGGAGCAACCAGGACTTGAACCAGCACCTATATGGGATTCTGGCACTGCAGGCTCTGGCTTAACCTGCTGCACCATAGTGCCAGCCGCTACACTGAACACTTTTAAATGAGAAATTTCAAAACCACATTTTTATTCATTTAAAAATAACAATAAACCAGCTACATGTTAACAGTGTTTATGAAAAAAAAAAAAAAAAGCCCTGTATTTAGAAAATACATGTTTAAGAAGACTGTGGGAGGAGCAGATTTGTTTACACCTCTGCAAGTATATGGACAGCTGCAGGCAAGCATCTGGCCTCACAGTTGATGCCTACACCCCGTAACTGAGTGCCTGCTTCCAGGACCCAGCCCAAGCCCCACTTCAGCTTCCTGCTGCTGTCAGCCCTGGGAGGCAGCAGGTGACAGGGCCATGGGGCTTTGGCCTTGCTCAGCGCCAGCATTTAGGCAGCAAGCCTGGGGAAAGGAAAGCTTCCCCCTCC